GATATCTTGTCTCCATGACCAATTGTCTTACTATATGGTAAGATAATATCCATCCAGAACTCTTTGAATCTGAGTTCAGATCTGGCATCTGTGACCTATCCTAGTGAGATAAGATTGAATAGTGTGTCAGAACAGTGGATACACTCTTTTAATGTGACTGGAGTGATCTTTTCTCCTTCAACCATTTTAATCTTGACAGTTCCTCTTTTCAAGCCCTTGAATTTGCCTACACTAATAACTTTATATCCTGAGGTCTCAACATAGTCAGAAAAATATAATCTATTTTTGATTATATGTCTGGTAATGTCAGAGTCCTCTAGCCATGATACTGCTGAGAGTGAGGTAAGTGCAACATCTGTTGCACAAAATACATGGTCTTCTTCATCCAAATCTGATTTGGCAACATATGTTTGAGTCTGGTCCTTTCTTTTTTCTTTCTATGACTTTCTAGTATTCTTCTTTTCATTTGGGCAATTTGTCCTGATGTGATCAGTTTTCCCACATCTGTAACATGTGATTTTCAGGTTGAACTTCTTCTTGCCATGTGCTGCAAGTGTCATAGTCTGATCAGAAGTCTTTTTCCTTAATCAGATATCTTTCTGGAGAATTCAGAAAATCAACTTGTAGGAATTTTTCAAGTCAGCAGTGTCTACTGATGAGATAAATAAATTCCATGATTCTGGAAGTGACGTAAGCAGTGTGATAGAGAAGTCCTTCTCCTCAACTTTCTGCTTGAGAGATGCCAGCTCCTCCTGATAGGACCTCATAGTCCTAATATGCTCCTCTATGTTTTCTTCTTCTTCACACTGAGCTCTGAAGAATTTTCTTCTAACAAGAACAATTCCCATGGGTTCTCTGGACTCATACATGTCTTTCAGAGCTTTCTAGACTTCTGCTGAAGTCTTTGAACCAGCAATATACACCAGCAAACCATCTAAAACCTGCAATCTTATTGTTAAAAAAGCCTTCCTATCACTCTTCTTTCAATCTGCCACCAGTACTGCATCTGTTAGAGCTGAAGTGCTTCTGTCTGTATAATCAATTAGTCCTAAATCAGTTAGGATATTGAACATCTTGATTTTTCAAGTTGGGTAATTTTCCAGGCCCTTAAGAGGGTCAATTCTGTATATGGACTGGCTATTCATATAGTTCTATGTGCATACATAAAGCACAAAAGTGTGCAAAGTGTGTAGCAATGTAAATAGTTCAGTTATGGCTGGGGCCCATAATCTGTTGAAAGTATAGAAGAGAGTACAGTATAAAGGATTGGATTGGCTAAGAGAGAGAGACATCATACTTAAATACATCCTGTACTACTTTGAGAGCTTTCTACAAATTACCATGCAAGTCTCAATCATAGTCCAAGTCAGCTGCCCCTGATTGACATAATATCTTCAAGTACATTCTCATACTTGCTCAGGATTGCTATCTCAACAGTATTGAACAAGAAGTAGCTGAACTCTTGACAGAGGTTAGATGGAAGGAATATATAGGCAAGTACTTGAATGAGAATTGGTTAGGATGGCAATACTAGTTGACAGATAATGATTCTCATTATAGTAGATCTCTGATCAATAGTGCCTATTCCAAGAGTTAGGCAAATGTCAGGCTGAGGGATATGATCATTTCTGAGATTTATGAGAATAATAATGTTGAAAGAGTTTAAGTTCAGAAACTCAAGCCAACTCAGTGTAGGAGGGCTCTGTAAGAACTCTTTGACTCATCCTAGTGTATAATTAGATATTAATAACATCAAAATATGACTCACATGCTTACTGACTCTATATAAGTAGTTAATAAGTCAAGCAACTCACTATTATTAAGATTAAATTTCTGACTCAGTATTACACTGACTTGACTCATACTTGTAGAAGTATATAAAGCTTGTAAAGTTAGTAGAAATAACTCTTCTTTTCTATCTCTTACTTGTGCCCTTAATATTTTGGACCTGTGTCAGGCCAGAGAGAGCACTAACTTGATTTGGTTAGGTAACCAGCTATTTAATGCTATTTAAGCTCTTCTCTTTGAGTATTGCCAGCCATACTTTTCAGGCATTATCTGCCTTGAACAGCAATACTTTCAGGCATATCAGCTTTGATCTGCCATATATTTGGGTATATTCACCTTGACCAGCCATTTACACCACTGTCTTAATCAATTGATTACTCATCCATTAAGATTTATAAGAGAGGTTTCAATTGCATCATAAAAGCTGAGTAATTACTTCACTAGGCTTTACACACAGACATCATAGGCATAGCCAAAAGAGATGTAAGCATCATCTGAAATGACTTATATAACCAATATCCTCCATACCATATGATGGCACTGCCAATGAAGATAAATTCTATCAATTTACAATGGAATTAACTCAATTCTGTAAAGAGAAATGGGTTCCAGCAGATGAACAGGTATTTTTTGTATAATACCTAAAGGGAAAAGCATTATCCTTCTTCATCCAGAAGGTATCCAAGAACCATGCAAACTGAACCTTATTAGACTTTTTATATGATATTTTCAACTTATGTTTTCCTTTGAACTATTGTAGTTAGCAGCAGGATAAAATCAAAAAATGCTATCAAAATGAATGCACTGCATCTGAGTATGTATATAAGATGAAGACCTAGTATAGTCTGGTAGAAGTTACTAGCAAGTGAGAATATATGATTAAGCTGTGAGATAGATTTCATAAGGATATGCAGTGTAAACTCCACTGAGCTAAGTTCAACAAAGAGATGCACAGCTGGTATTTCATTATTGAAGAAGCAGAGCTCATTGAAATGGCTGATCTTAAAGCTGCTCATCAAAGCACTAGAGAAAAGAAGTTGTTGGAAGAAAAGAGCAATAATGGAAATAGTGATAATCTCAGCCATCAGAATCCTAACTCTAGAAGATCTAAATCTGGATATCACAACTGAAAGAGATACTCTCATGAGAAAAATAGACCTTGTAAAGGGAGTCTGACTGCACTAGAGCAATTATCTGGATATCTCTTGACATCATCAAGAGGTCAGAACCATTGAAACTAAAAGAATAATAGCCTAGAAAAGCTATCTGGATCATTCTCTAGCCAAAATGAGTTATCAAGGGCCAGACAAGCTGAGTTGGTGGCAGCCAACAAATGTTTTAACTGCAAAGAAAAAGGTCACATGATTAGAAACTGCTCATACAATAATACCATCAAGGCAAATAGAAAGTCAAAACCTTCAGGCTTCTCTGCACATAGCATGCATTATGATCCAGAGGAGGAAGATCAAAATAACTTGGCTGAAACCATGGAGATGGCAGATCATCTTACCTTCAGACTGGTAAGAGGATCTATATGGTGCAGAGGATGATCCTGACCTTTCAGATCTGGAATCTGTGTCTGAATCTGAAACTTTCTCTGATGAAGAATCTGACAGTAATGATAGTGAATGGAAATCTCAATCAGTAGCTGAACTGTGTCAATCATAGTCAGATAAAGATGATCTAGCACTAGCTGCCAATGAATCTTAGTCTGATGAGTTCTAAACTATGTCTGAGATCTTGCTCAAAGCTATTGAAGATGAATACATGCAGGAAAATATAGGCTGTATCTAGACTGACAATAATGTATGTGCCATGGACCAGAGAGGTGAACTCATGTTCTGCTGAATAGATGATGCTAAGAAAGTGTTTGGATATTCCAACACAGACTCTGGGAGATAAGCTCCACTGTAGAACAACAAGCTTACATTGATTTGATGTCTTCCAGATAGACAAGAATTGGTTTCCATTATAAACATGAACTCAAATGTAGAAGAGCTGTTAATTTCTGCATCTCTGCTATGCAATTCTAAGTTTCAAATTGAGTCCTGGTATACTAAGTGATAGACTTAACTGTTGTCTCTGCTATATGACTCAAAGAAAAGACACTGCAGATTCCACAAAATAGATGATGCAGTTGTAACTGGCCTACACTTCATTATCAGCCATAGTACAGCTGGATATTCATCACTCTGGATTCCCCAAAAAGCTATCACCTTGAGACAGATTCACAGTATCCCAAAATGGTAAGACCAATGACATGGATGACTGTATCACTGTTGTGGATTATATTAGTCATGCTATCATGACCTTGGATGCTCAATAGCTGGAAAACCTTATTTCAATACTATTAGCTGGATTTCAAAACAGTTGAAGATCTACCTTGCCTTGCTACATAAGGAACAACTCCAGCAGGAAATAGATATATGGAGAGCTGAGCAACAGGAACTGAGAAAAGCTAGATCTGAAAGATGGAGACAATGATAAATATGCAATGTGCTCATAGATGCAGTGGAGAAGCAGCTGCATGAAAATGCATCATATCTGGATGATCCAGATATCTTAGGAAACAAAATGAGATTCACTGTGTGAGAAAACATATTGAAGCATCAATTCAATTGGATTGACCATGAGCAAGGGTTGGGAGGTGAGTTTTTGATAGAATGGGCACTGGACCCAAGATTCAGCATTGCTGAATTTTGGGCATGACAACTGACAGCATTTGGCAACACTCCAATGTTCATGAACATGGATTATCCTATTATAGGGTCCAGGTCACAAACTGCATGGTTACAGCACCAAGGAAGACTGTAGATTACCAAGAAATCTGAATTGATCTGAAGGCCTCATGAGCAAACCTTCATTTACTTCTGACAATAGCATCAGGGTTTCAGTTACTGACAGGTTTATGCTCATCTTAGTAGGACCCTAGACATGGTTATACATTGGTGCAAGAAGCTACAAAAGTGCTATAAAGGACAACTTCAAGCTGGGATGAGTCACTGAACCATGGTGATGAACTGTGAGGAGAGCAAATCGGAATTGTGGACATGAGATATATATAAAATAATACAACTGAACCTGAAGAGATTAAGAGGAGAGAATTCGATCCAAAGCAAAGTTGTGAAAAAAGTCAAGCAAGACCCACTGGAAAATGCCGGTTGAACGATCGAGCGGGCCGCTGCTGCCGCAAGTTCATTCTTGAACTTGAACTTTGCTTCGTTTCAGTCCTCTTCAAAAGAGCTGCCGTTGTTCTTTCTTCCTACGATTACTGGGAATGTCACTATTTCCATTGTTATCTTAGGGCACCTTTAAATGTGAGTGGCACAATGCAATTTCTTCATTTGCGACCAGTCTCGCTTCACGCTGAAATCCAATATACAACGGATGAAGTCGAGGTCCTGTTCTCTCATCACCTTCTTCCTAATTTCTGCTCTCTTCTCACATCTTTTCCTAATGTCAGACTCTACCCGTGACAGTGCTCGAACTCCTCCCAACCAACCTGTCATTGCTCCCAACGCCGACGGCCCCCCGCCAGTTGGACACACTCCGATTAAAAAGAAAGCTGCTGGTCACAGAACGCTTGCTGTCAAAAACACCGTGATGATAGACAGGCGTCTTGAGCTCGCTGAAGAGACGCGTGGCATGGCCCAGGGCCCGATGCCAGCCCGCGACTTTATGAACGAGTTCTTGCCGTGGAACGAAACCACTCCGATGCAATTCAGAAAGCTCCAACCCACCAAAGAACGACTCAAGAAATTGACGTACTTGGCTACCGCTTCCGAAGCCAAAACCTACGAATTACTTGTATGTTCTTCAAGATAGCCCATGCTACAATTGTCTAATATTTGCCACAGCTCGAAGCATTCTCCGGCTGGCCTTTTGAGCTCAAACCTGAAGACCGACGTCCGAGATATGCACATTGTGTTCTTCAGTGGAATGACAGCCATGCCACCCCAGATAAGTTCTGTGATTCGCTCTCTGTGGACGTCAATGCCGTTGATGTCAGTCGGCCGACTGTCAGGCGGTGCGACGTGCGCAAGCTCGATTTCGCTAACGTCGAGACTCACACCGAAATGAAGCCCAAGGTGTGGGATGATCCCTACTGTGACGGAGATGCTGTATCGGACGGCGAAGAAGACGACTACGAAGACATTGAACAATACGAGGGGAATGATGCGTCGGCTTTTTGAGAGCTTTCTCTTAGAGCAAGCTGGGCATAAAGCCTTCTGCTCTCATCAACCCTGGCTGTGATTGTTTCTCCCCATAGCTCATGTGGCTCCTCATCATTTGACCAGAGGTCAGTGGCCCTATGACTACTATAGTCAGTGTAAACTGACAAGATGGGGCTTCTGGCCAGTGTGATGTAGAGTAAGTCATGTCCTGAGTTTGACAAAACACTTCAGGGTCTTGAAGCTACTCTAGGAGTATCAAGGGGATCTCTAGCATGGTCTCTAACCCCAGGTTTCCTTAGAGCAGTGGAAAGATCAAGAGATGGCTCATCATCAAAAAGTCATTAGAGAGATCCTTGTCCTCATAGTTCAAGATAGGAGATGGGACTCATAGGTTCTGGAATCCTATGAGGTGATTGTCTTGGTTTCTTCTTTCTGGCTGCTGAGATCAAGGAGGGTATCTGTGTCTTTCTTCCTTTTGAACATCCCCAGAATTTGAGTTGCTAGGCCCAGGGGACCACTGTGTCCTAGTTAGTCAGATTCATGAATCTTCCCATATTTCTCGAGCAGTACGTCTGTTTGTTGTAACGGTATGTCTATGGTGACTGACTACTGTACAGGGCACCTGGCAATTCGTTTCAGCACATCTCCTCGAAAATCCTAACATTGAACACACCTTCGTTGACGATCGAGAATCAGCACTGTACGTCCTCGTTTGGGTCGCCCTGCGTCATCTTGCACACGGTTTGTCTGTTGGACGTCTGAAGGCGACATTGGAGATTTTTGATGGGTGCGTTGTCGAACCGGGGCAGCGTACTGTAGGGGGCGGATCCAAGGAAGATGCTCTGAAATCAGGAAGGTTCAGCGACCATGTGGGGCTGAAGGTCCCTGGTCTCGAAGATTGTCTGACAGACTTGTGCGAAACTTTTGCTTTTCGGTATAGAAAAGTCAAAGGTACACGTTCCAAGTCTGCAGCTGAAGCTGCCACCGAACGCGCCTTGCAACAAAAGAAACTTGCACAGCTGGAAAAACCTTCTCGGCTCTATGAGACCTTGAGGGCCTTCGCCGAGGAGATCGAGGAACCCTCTGGAACAAAAATCGACTGGTGCGACAACGTGAAGTTGATACGGGAAGCCGAACGCACTGGGCGACAGAAACGGGGCCTCTCAGAGAAGCATGAATCCCAATCGAAGCGTTTCAGGGGCTACGATGGCACGGCAACGCCTGCGGTCTCGCTTGACATTAATGGATAAGGATGATTGATTTTTTTCAGTTGTATTTTTCACCTTTCATCCACTACTATCTACGGTCTTCCAGTATGTAACTATTCTAGCCTTTGGGATTATTTGAAGTCGCTCCTGGGGACGTTCTCTAGACGAATCGTTCTTATCCTGGTCGATGACCTTCGGTCTTGTGCTGCGGTTTTGAGACTTCTGTACAATCTGCAAACAAGATGCTTGGTTTTCGCATTACTCTTCCCTCTTGTCGTCTTTTCATAGGAAAATCCCACTGTAATGACGAAGGACATTAGTTAGATATCTAACATGGTAATGATAGTGAGTAAGATATAGGCAGGGCACAGTATATACATACCGCAGTCGGCACAGCAAGTGCGTAAGCGACTGAGGTACACGGGTATCTATGGGCGACGCTATATAGAGACGAGGGTAGGAGGTGTATATATATGGTAGGTAGGAATAGAGAAATATAGGGTCTGGTATAAGGTACGGATATCCTCCAACAAACAGGTAGTGCTCTAAATTCAATTTATATAACTAGTTCTCCATGTCATCAACTATCTAGACTATGAACTACTACAGGCTGAAGGCAATGTTTCATTACAGCATCGATAATTAGTGCTTGCACTCAGAGCACTTGCATTGGCCGGTAGTGCATCAAAGCTTCAATGAAAACATATACGCTGCCAGATTCGACCACAGTCCATATAACAGTTATATATGGATTGGACTGCTTTCTAGATGTCTGGGTCAACGACCGTTTTGACACTATATGGGAGGTAGGATTATCAATTTTAGATGAACAAAAGTCAGAGACAGAGATAAATTTTCTCAACGATGGATCTCTGGTGGTAAAAACGCACCCTTACCTACTCCGATGGCCGCCTTTTATCCCAGACGACTTCGAAATGTGACATGGATGATGCAAGGAGGCAATGTCCAAAATAGGATGATATTCGAGTCGACATGGTCCACTATGATGTCGTTAAAATTTATGATGATTCAGTCATCTCAGAGTTGGGGCGGGGGGGGTAAAAATAAAATATTACAGCGTCGTAGAACTGCCAGATGATGATAAGAGTGGGATTCAAACCCACGTCCTTTCGGACTAGGATACGTAATCGATCGGCCCCAACCTGGCGCCTTAGACCATCTTGCCATTGAAGTATCATGGGTAATATATTTTCCTTTTTAAGGCGCCTGATATGCGCAACATGCGAAGAAATGGAAATTCGCAAGGGGGATGAAGGACAATGATCAAAAATGCAAATTTTTCAGGAGTCATAAAGGCCTTGTCAGTTCAGAACCTTGACTGAAGGTCAAACAATATTATTCTGGGAACTTGTGGGACGACTGGTGGCTGCATGTCTGGGACGGAATGATTAGGTCCGAGGACTACCACACACAAGACAAAACCTTTCTTTTGGGCTTTCGATTCGATGGCTTCCTCTGCCGCATCGATGATCCTGTAATTACTCATAAAACTTCTCTGAAAGGTACATATAACTACTACTTGCCTAAGTGCGACGGTCAATTGCTTAAGGAGAATTGACTGTCGACTCAGGGCAAAACTGTCTAAGCTTATGTAAGATTAACTTCATGTACTTGTGTTGTTTTGCAACACCAGGTCATAACAAATTCTTGCCATTTGACATGCTTTTGCTCATTTCAGAGTGCGAAGACAGCAGCGAAAGCTGACGAAAATAGTGGAAGGCGTTGAGAGGCGAGCCCTGTTTATGGGCTGGCTGCGTAAGCCGAACGTCGCCTCAAGACGTGGCCCCATTTCCACAGAGACTAGAACGAAAAAGGTCAGCTTGCGGAACGACATGTACATAGATAGGAATACCCAAAACACCGGCATAAGCAGGAAAGAGATGCCAGCGAGTATGGCAGAGCCTGGGCCCAAACCAAGGTTGACGAAGAATGCACGTCCAAAGAGTGGAAAGACACTGGCGATGGCGGAGCGGAAGAAGTCGTTGCAAGCGAGAACTGATGCGTCGTAGGTGGGGTACGCTGATGTGATGTATGTCAAGATGCTCTGGAAGGTGAGGTAGATGTCAGGGAGGTAGAGTGCGGCGCCGATAATGGGAACGATCCAATGGATGCTTTCCTTCGAGGTGAATCCGAAGATGAGAACGCTGGTTGGGATGAAGATGCTTGCGGTCAATCCAATCTCCAGGCGGATCTCGGGCGCAATGTCGACACCCGCTGCAGCAGCTTTGGCATATCTAGGTGCGATGTGGTATTTTTGATAGAAAACATATACGGTGTACTAGAGAACGGTTGTCAGCACCAGGACACGAAGAAAATGAAATCACTCACTGTAATAGAGCCAGAGACGGCGAATGCAAGGAAAGGCAAGCCACTGAGACCGAGATTGAAGTTGTAGATGTCGGTGAATACAAGCGGGAAGGCCTCGAACCACAGGTAAAAGATTGCGTCTGATAGGAATATCGTCAATCAGGTATTGTATCATGTCAGCATGAACATTACTCACAGACAAATCCGAGGTAGACATTTGCAAACATCAAAGCAGGCTCCTTCGCAAGAATAAAGGGACGGATCAGCGCCTCCTGCATCACCGCTCCCAGAGTCTCGCCCTCTTTATCCTTCTCGCTTTGGGAGCTCAACTTCTGGTTTCCCGTTAGCTTCCTGAGCCGCTGCGCGCGCTTCAGCAAGATTGTTGGCTCGTATGTCTCGGGAAGAAGCAGCGTCAGGAAGATGAGCGCGAAACCGGCGATCCAGATGAGCTCGTACTGAGGCCACCTCCATCCATTGGCCTGTGCTGCGAACCCTCCCATAACTGGGCCAGTGATGGGGCCAGCGATAGCTCCAAGCGCCCAGATTCCCAGCACGTATGCGTGCTGGTGCATAGGGTATATGTCCCCCACAGATGCGCCTCCTGTAGCGAGCACAGGGCTGCCAACAAATCCGGTGAGGAAGCGGAATGCCAGAACTGTGCTTATGTTTCTGGCGAACGCGACGGGTATCTGGAAGACGACGAATAGGAACAAGGTGGCCATGTAAACCGGGTTACGACCTATCTCCGGAAGTTCTTGAAGTGGTGCCAAAAACATGGGTCCAATACCGTACGCTGATTAAGAGCGTTAGGATGGTGTGGACTGGAATGCGGATCAACTTACCAAGAATGTAGAGCGTGAGACCGAGAGTAGCAGTGGTCTGAGAGACATTGAAGTCAGTCATCAGGCCGGGAATTGACGGCGTGTAGATAGCTGAGCCGATGTACACACTGAAGGTCAAGAGGCTGATGCTGAACGCGACAAATGCACGTTTCGCGGGAGACCAATTTCTGGAAATGGAATTGAGAGATACATTCAAACATGTTAGAAATGAAGCAAACCTTGGGTTCTCCTGATCATCGTCCCCATACCATCCAACTACGTATGGATCGGAGCGAAGAGCAACATCGATCTGTTCTGCCATCTCCACACCTAGATCTACAGCCAACGTGGATTCCCTTGTGAGCTGTACTCCCGGCGTTGATGCACCTCTACACTTTTCCAGGTCACCGCATAGCATTGTCGCGTCGGAGTCTGGGGAAACGACTGTCGACGGCCTTTGAGATGCCAGATGGAGGAAATGTGAAGGGACCTTAAAGTCGGGCCGTTGGTCGGTGTAGGGAAAGATACCACCACTTGAGATGTAGTTGATAACCTGACCAATGGTAGAGTCGCGGAAAATGTCTTGGACCATAGCGATACAAGTCTAGGTGAAGGAAGGGGAGAATGATGCACTCTCCTCATCATCAGCCACTTTCATAGCTGAATATTTTTCCGGGCCCTGAGAATGACTCGAAGATGGATTATTCATCGTACTCGATTAGTGAGCAAAAAAAAAAGATTCGGCCGTCGTCACGATTGGGCAATAACGAGGGCCTTAGAAACCACCCTCGATCTGATTGCGACACGTGAATGGCACGTCTATGTAGTAATACAAGGGAGAGGTGGGAGGGGGACAGAAAAAATCGCTAGTGACTTGTACAATAACAGCGCGGTAATACTAGATGAGATTTTGTTAGATGTAGTGAAGCCAGAGACTATTTGAATGAGCCATTTCTGAGATGAGAGAAGAAGTGAAGCCTCACCAGGCAACAGGGATTACTGACAACAGAGGGAAGAGGCGGAACCTCGATGCCTGAGATTGGCAGTCAGAATTGAATGACAGTGAGAGGGCAAAGCTCATCTCACCTAGGGATGCGGGATGAAGGTGAAAATGAAGAAGAGACGCCGGAGCCGATGACTCTCATGAATCAGCCTCAGCCGAGGGTCAGCACTGAGACAGAGATGGTACCGGCAGCCCATCTTCATGGAAGAGCAGAGCTCCGTATCGACATAGATTGTGGGTACCTCGAGAGCCACGCAGAGCTCTGCAAAAACGCTCCCTAGCCTTGGAATCCGCCTTTACAACGATCTATGTAGGCCAAAATAGACTAACACCTATCAACATGAGACAGTACAACCTGAGTAAGCCAGGAGATAAGTATGAATAATTATTATCGTAAACAATCAGGCTGAGGAAGGCATGTCAGGGAGTTTGAGAATACCGACCAGAGTTCTTACCGCGTTCAGCAACGGAATACTGAAGTACTGAGCGCTGTAGTCCTTACTTGCCCAGACACCAGACATGATTGCGTTGCGGTACAGGATAACAGCAGGCATCGACGTGGCACGTAGTGGTAGCCAGCTAAGAAACGTGCACGGTAAGAAGAGGAAGACTGGTCGGGTCCTCTCACGTGCTCACGACGCGTCGTGGGTCAAATTTGATATTCAAATATTCACTGCTAGGGCCGACTCTTTTTCGTTGAAAAACGACATGGAAAAGGCGTTTCTCGCAATCAGAACACTTCCGCCAGCATAAGGCGCTTAGAATCTTCAGGCGCATCATTAGACGCTGCTGCTTTCTCATAACTTTAGAGCGGGGACTGCACTAGATGAGTAATGGTACTATGAGGTAAGTTCGGTGGACAGCGAAAGATTAACAAAATACTACTGAAAAAACATTAACTATACATTCCCAGCCGCGAGGCTGAGAGTGTCTTTCCCTGGGTTCCAGGTCGAGAAATGCTGTTCGACTCACCCGGGATAGCCGGACTCCAGCGGCCTCAGGACAACAAGAACATACAACGCCAGGCCAAATTCGATTCTTCCTTCCCGACCGTCAGTGCTTCATGCTCCTGCAATTGCCAGCAGAGCTTCTCCTACAGATTTCGGCCCTGGTGAGTCCCCTCGGTTTTCTCACTGAAATTTTCCGTCCTAACTTTGCCTGTAGCTCAGCCATGATACTCAGAAGAATCTTCGTCTCGTCTGCAAACCGCTTCATGACGTCACTACCGAGTTTGTTTTTGCCACTTTTCGCATAAATTTCTCCAACGATGCCAAGATGTTGGATTGGAATATGCTAAATGAACTAGCAATGCGGAGTACAGATATGTGGAGATACGTCAAGGTGCTGCGCCTGACCCATCCTTCGCCTCTAGTATTTCCCTTCGCAGACCATAATGCGTGGCGGAATTCGACGAAGGATATCATAAGAGGATTGTCCAAGGCGATTGTGTCACTCGAAAACGTTACAACTGTCTAGTGAGTTACATTTAACTTCCTTCAGGCGCTGAGCAATTATCTTGCAGTTGGACCAGTGTGAAAGATATCGACAATACCATCGTTGAGGCTTTGATATTAAGCATCTCTCGACTACCTTCTCTACAAAAGTTCACCATATACATGACGAGCAGGATGCTCACTCCTGTCCCTCGCTTTCAACTGAAGAATCTCACCTTCATGGATATTTCATTATGTCGACCGCCATGGGATGACTTCATCCGAGATAGCCTGCCCAGTATCTTGGAGAATAGCCCAAATTTATCTTTCCTTTCTCTGGCAGACGGAACGAATGGTCCCATGGGTTCTCTAGGCAGCTTATTTCAAAACCTCCATCGCCCGTTGAGATTGGAATCTCTGGTCATCCACAATTTATCTGTCCCGCCGCTTAGCATCCTCCATCCTCATTTCCAGTCGCTTACATCCCTCGTTCTGTCAAGTACCGGAAACCTTCCCCCCGGATTCTGGTTTGGCATACAAGCAAACAACGTTCATCTCCGTTCCCTCAATATCGACGATGTTGATGCGGCGCTTTTGGATTATCTGCTTTCCTACACCGACGTGGAAGCAATCAGATTGAAGGTGCCTGGAGACAATGCAGTGTACGACGAGCTTGGAATCAAGTTCTATTCTCAAGTTCTACCTCATCATTCTGCGACTTTAGATTCCCTCAGCATTCTGCCAACCTTTGAAGGGACGTGGTCGCTTCAGGACTCAACCATGTTACCCGTCTTGCAGTGTCGTCGTTTGGTCTCTCTCTCCATGTCTGTGCGCCTCTCGGATATTAGCGATCTCACTGAACCTAGCATAGTGGTCAGTCAATCTTCCTCTTCTACCTGCGTAGAACATTATTCGCTAATTTCTTTTTTTACCAGTCGGATCTCTTACACTCCATCAAATCGTTACATAATCTCTCCTCTCTTTATTTGGCTCCGTCTTTCTCCCTGCATGCCCCACTGTCATTTCCCGAGAAGCGCTGGAAAGCCAGTATTATGCTTGGGCAGGTGATTGAGGCTGTCAACACTATACCTAACCAGGATCCTTATCTCGCCCTTGAAATATTCGTTCAACCATTCGGCGGCTCGTACAGAGCATATTGGGACACCGAGAGTGGCTTCTCGTCTTTTTTGTGCTCACACTCGTGCCCTCAGTAGCTCTTCATCCTCATACTTTAAATTTATCTTGTAAATAAGGAGCGTGTATGTAAAACGGAAAGATAACAGTGTAAATGCAAGAAGCTTTAATCAAAACGGTTGCCTATGCAACTACAGTGTCCCCGTCGACGTCTCTCTCTTGCTTCTCTTCTAGTGCTTTGGCCTTGTCCTTGAGTAGCAGTGTCGGATGGAATATGTTGAAGGTATAAATGGCCAGGACAATCATCGCCCCGTCGAGAACATCTAGATATTCGGTGAGACGGCGACCCAAAGATAAGACACAAAACAAAGCCTTACTGAAATAGACTTCGGTGGTAATGATTCTTCCCGACCACCCATCGGAGAGCTCGATGGTACGATATACAGCTCTGCACGACAGTCAATTCAGCTGCCATGTTTCCAAGGACAAAGAAGAACATTACCGAATAAACAGACAAACCGTGCTGAAGGCCAGAGCTACGGTGAGGAATCTCAATTTCATGTTCAAATGACCTTTGGTGATGTCGCGCCCGCGAATAGGCTTATCAGCCAAGTATCTTATGAGGAACTCGCTGCCCAAGATGGCGTATACCGTGATGACAGCTGCTTCATGTCAGAGAGAGGGTCTTGGAAATTGACAAATCGATGGGCCGTACCCATTTGGAAGGCGATACCGCCTAGCATGATATGTCCTCCCTGCGGGACCACGAAGAGTTTAGATGGCAATGCCCAAGAAGGAAAGATAGATTCCGATAGACCTTGTTGGGGCTTGTGTTCTGGGATACAGCCGTTGCTGCCATTCCTCCACCAACGGCTTGTATCACGAGAGATATTATATCGCAAGAACAAAAGAAAATAAGATCTAAAGCCCGGAGAATGAACGAGGCGAAAAGAGGGGCCGGGCCCATTTCGTGGCACTTGAAATAACTCACACGCTCTGGGGCTCAGGCGACTGTACCCGGCTCCAAGACGCTCGATCAGCTTCTCGAGGATGACAAAGTTGGCGGCCAGGAGCGGTGTCGGTGCCAAGATGGTACACGTCAATCTATCCTCATACTATCAGTCCGAAGTCAGGATGAGCAGTGGAACATACTGCATCTCGTAAGGACCCGCGAGGTCAGGGTTGGAACTGGACCATAGGCGTGCGCTCCATCCGAGAATCTCGAGGAGGCCGCACAGGAACGCGGTGGCCAGCAACCACCATGCGCGAGAGAAGATCGCCTGGCCCGTGTGGAGTACTACGGAGGGTGAGACAGGCGCGTGTTCGACCACGAGATGAGGACACGTACAGGTTGATACAGAAAAGAGGACCAAGAAAAGGATTGAGATCCCTCTGTCGGGGACATACCCGTAGAAACTGTTTGCATCCGAGGCACGTTTGCCAAAATCTAGTGCTAGAAGATTGGTGAGTCAGGACAAGGGACGTTGGATGAATCAATAGGGGGGCTTGCCTTCGTCTAGCATCATGCGGGGGAGTATGGGGTTAGCTTTGGAATAGAAAGAGGTGCCTTGTTTCTCTTATATACTCGCTAAGCCGTTGTGTAGCTGTGAAACGGAAAGATATTGACGACTTACGGAAGGGAGTAAAATTAGTTATTTCATCACTGTGCCGCCGCCTGGTGCCTATATAGCGTGCGCTGAATTATCAAACTATGGCGTCCGGTAATGACTCGAGATCCAGATAGCCGCCAACCAAATCGTTGGATTCAAGCGATATAATCGAGCTAATAAGCGCCTACATCGTCAGTGCAGAGAGGGACGGCACAGAGGCACTTCTGGTACAGTCCATGGAACATACGCACGTCATTGACTGGAATTCTTGGGGAAAAAAAAAAGGTCAAATCGAGAAATAGGAAAAGTACGGCTGTGTTTTGATCGAGACCTTTTGGTCCCGCGGCCCGCGGGTGACGTCCCACGGGTGATGACGCATAACTTTTGACATCTTTGTCTATCTCGTCATCTCCAGTTCTCAGTTTTAAGTTGATTCGGAATTACCTCCTCGGTAGTTGATCTTTGAATTTTCGTCTCGCATCCATGCTCACAAGCGAGAGACAGCGGCATTGGGCGAATATACACTGTACACTTGGTACATCCTTGAGCGTGAGTTTCGTCAAGTTTCAAGTCGTACGACTCGGATACTTAGCAGGTAAATGCCCTTCTCATGCACATAAATTCCACCAATTGACAATCTCTTATGCATAGGATTGAGTACATTCGTGTTACCCAGGTCCCACGATGAGCACTAGTAGCCTTCTAAGGCTTCCCTTTCTATTATCAGCGACTTATGGTGTCCACAAATCAATGACACCGCCTCACCTGGCGCCTGCAGAAGAGCAAATCCCCTTCAAAGGCCTCGACATCGAACGCGCAGCACCTGCCCTTGCGACCTTCACCAAGGTCGGTCACAATCTGGCGCGTGTACTAGTCTCCACCGTTCTCTTTCTCACAAAAATTTAATAACCATCTCCCTTCAGGCAACATTTTACTTTCTCTGCACAGCCGAAACGCTCGCTGTTCTCTCCACCAACGGCCTTTTACCTACTGGATACATCCCCCTCCCACCCCCAGACCACATCCAGCTTACGAAGCCCTACCTCTTCTTCTGGTCATGTGCGATCCTCGGGTCATCTCTGCGCGTGTACTGCTACCGCATAATGTCCTCGTTCTTCACGTTCGAACTGAGCATCCGGAAGGACCACAAACTCATCACCCACGGGCCGTACTCCGTCGTGCGTCACCCGAGCTACGTTGGCGCGGTGCTATGCGGGGTAGGCGCCGTGGGCTCCCATTTGAGTAAAGGGTCGTGGTTATCCAGCTGGATCGGCACCACTGCCGTCGGATGGCTGTCTGCTTGGGCTTTCACGATGGTGTTAGTCCGCATAGCCTTGATTCCGAGAATGAACAAGGAGGATAAGATGCTCAAGGAGGCTTTTGGAAAGGAGTGGGAGGATTGGGCACGGAGGGTTCCATACAGACTTATTCCGTGGATGTATTAGTGCCGACTGCCGTCGGCAGAAATGCAAAGTCTATATGTTCACAAGAGGCTGAGATAGGACCTGCATTTGTCCATAGTGTCCTAAGTGCTACTAACATCGCAATAAGCAAGGCGCCAAAACGTAATCTTCAATTTCTCAGAATATCGGTGGACTATATTCCAATGACATCTCATGGCGCTGTTAGACTAGAATAGACCGAAACTTGCAACGGTGACACCCACAAGTTTATCGTCATTTGGGCGAGACGGCATTCGCCGTAGATTGTGCACAGTATTTCGAACGTTGTAGATGGGGCACCGATAGTTGGTATAACTTTGGATCTCCACGAGGAAGTAGAGGCGACGCAGCTACTACTCACGCAGTATCTTTCGGATGAGTATCCAGTCTGCCGTTATATTTCCGTTTACCGCATATCTCATCTCAGTCTATTAGACGTTCATATGGTGGACGATGTTCTCAACTGGCTGCAAGCCACATGGTCTCTATCACTTGCCACCCAAATCCTCGTAACCACGTTGATTGCAACACACATCCGGTGGGGCTGTCCTCATTTCTAAAACTGTTCCGACAACAACAAGGATGTCTGGTTAGACCCATCGTTCTTTTCGAGAGGTGCCAAATTTGATCATCTAGCAAGTAAATACCTCGAAGGCAAGGCGGATATGCTGGTGAATTGTCTCTACTTATCGTCGATAAGGTATAAATGGCATGTATCGGCGCTCGTACTGATAACGCGCAGTTCGGGACCAGCATTTGGACGTGCCTGTGCTGTGAGACATTTATCGCCAATTCCAATTTGGGCATTGCCACTTTCTTTCAAAAGACGTCTACTGTCCACCAGACTTGCATCTTTATACTTTTCCTGCACAATCTTCCAAAGCAAGTCTGCTGCCTGTCATAATGTCTGGAAACCATCTGGCAAGCTTCGCCGAATTACTTGCTACTAGATCGAAGAGTCACTCGCTTATGCACACTTCAGTGGCGCTTTTTGGTTGAAATGCTCTGGGCGAGGAGTCTTGACACAAGATTTCCACACAGAAGGAACTGTGATTTGGATAATTTGAATACATCCGTAATGTGTCTTAAGGTGCTGGTTCTCAGGGTGCAGACACTGAAGTACAGCTTGGGAATCATTGCTATCCTCTCCTGCATCTACCTGTTCTCTTATCAGTCAAAGGTGCTGATTTCTGTGCTTGTCCATTTTCGCCGCAGAATCGAGATGGCCTCAAGCCGGGGGACTTAGCGTGGATGAATTACACGACCCTTGCCGAGACCAGAATCGCAGAAATGCGATGTTGCCCTGACGGCAGTCACTCCGCGGACGACACATTATTTTGAAGAAAGCAAACCATGACTTCGTGCCTAACAACCAGAGCTCCTTTCCCCTTCATCCCTGGCGCCAGGACGGAAATCAAAGACACGACGGTTGCTTAATTGCAAAGTATAAAATTATTGGTAGACGTCGATGTCCCTGGTATCGAGCCACTCACGAGAGAAACTTTCTTTCTGTGCACTCTTCCGAACTTTCGCTAATGCATTTATACACGGTGTGGCACATATCCTTCGAACGCAATTATCGACGCAAACGCGAGCCTGAGGCGTGTGGACTTTTGACTTGGGTTTTCACAGCGTTTCAAAGGGATATCGTTTCGCGAAGCGTCCTGCGCCACTAATATCCTTCGGGCAGTGGAAAATGTCAAGCAGACATGTCAACGGTCCTTGCTTCTTGTGATTGGGGTGCAGATCAAATCGGAGGGCCGCGGGACGCTTCGGCCACGATGAGAGCTCGGGCCATCATAATCTCGAGCTTCACTGGGTTCTTTCTCTAGAAACTCTTCCATTTTTGCTGATGTGGGTGCTTGTGAATTCCGCTGTTCTTTTCGCTCATGATTCACGAACAGGCAAGGTATATAGTTCCCCTCATAGTCTTGGCCTGCAGCTGAACGGACGTCAAGGTTCCTGAACGACGGTTACCAGTCAGTTTTCAGTGCCTTGCTCTTAGCTGCGTGCTCCTAACCAAGATATTATTGGCTCGAGTAAACTTGGTCTCGCTCGGATGACGTATCATCCGGTGATCGATGGAAAAGTGCTATATTGCAGGGCTGTTGACAGAACGAGAACGTGGGTTCGGAATACCCGATTATCATTTCCGTTCATCTGGTACAAAAAGAGGATCTTGCAGATGTCGCTTTATCCCCCATGCGACGATGGCTCTCAGTCACTTCGCCCTCGCATTGGCTGCGGCAGACTTCATTGGAAGTACTCTGTCCGCTCTTGGATCTGGGTTTATCATCCTCTGCTACGTCTTCCTTCCCGTAAAGAGACATTATCGGCATCTTCTCATCCTCAATCTCGCTGTCGCAGGTAAGATTCAGAATCTCCTCTTTTTCCTAGTGTTTCTTTGCACGAACCCTACTATTTCGATTCTTCTAGATTTTATGAACGGCATCAACAACGGGATTTCAGGTGCTTTTGTGCTAGCCCAAGGCCCACTACAGTACAGCGCGGCATGCGTTGCCAACGGTTTAATCGGACAACTGTCTGTTCAGGTTAGCGCTATTCCGCCCCTGCCATCGATACCTCGCCCATCGTACAAGCTTTAGGCTACAGACACGTCCATATTTGCAATCGCAATAGTGACTGTAGTCATCGTGACGGAAACGAGAGACGGATGGTTGAGCAAACGCACAAGATGGAAGGTCGCCGTTGTTTGCGCTAGTACCTGGGTGCTGCCGATAATCACAAGTGGGTGGTGGCTTTTCCTTTTTTCCGGCGCATCCTAATCCGCAGTCAAGGTTTTGTCGCCCTGGGAAAGGGTTATTATAGTGCGGTCTCTGGCAATTGGTGGTGAGCCCTCTCCTGACTGTCGAGTCGCATTCCTTTGGCTCACGATTGATGTCTCCAGCTGGATACGTACTGAACCAGCGTATCTACGCTACGTATTGACCCATGCATGGCGATTTCTTTTCATATTCTCTGAAATCGGTGGGCCTCTTCGTTTGTTTTGAACCCGCGTGTTCTCAGTGGTTCTCTTCTAGGGCTCTATGTATATCTATACATCCACCTCAGAAAGAGTTTCCGAACAATGAACTTCCTGATCGCTAACCAGATTCAGGTCTCAACGGAAGCTTCGATTCCGTCGCACTTATCTTCCGTCTCCGCGGAACCTCCGCGAGATCCAGAGCTCAAGATACATGTGTCTCAGACCCAGTTCAATAAGGTTGACGGGGATAGTAGCGCGGAGAAATTTCGACCTGTAGATGGACCAGATGTCTCGGACGAAGAAGCACCGCCCCCGACGCCACACTACTACCCACCGGGAAAGTCCAGTGCTTCTGTGCGCCAATCGCCGATACCGGCGATGGATGAGAAGAGGCAGAGGCAGGTGGCAAGGGTGCTCCTGCTGAACGCGTATCCTATAGCGTATATCGTGCTGTGGATACCGGGGTTGTGTAATAGGCTAGTAGAGGCATCGGGGCATACGTCGAGGGTACTGCAACTTATGCAGGCGACGACACAGTTTGTGGGATTCGCTAATGCGTTGACGTATGGATGGAATGAAAATGTGGCTAAAAGCCTGAAGGAGGCAATTAAACGATGGTGACTGTTTGAGTTTAATTATAAGTATTGTATCATGATTCACATATGTAATTGTAATAGAAATCTATGCGGAAAGGCAAACCGAATTCAAACGAGTTGTAGTGTAATATTTTCTGTTAGTTGGGTAACCTCGTGGGATTTTGACTGGCCGATCAAGATCGCTAGATCATCACCGCAATGGCGTCTTATGGCCAAATCACTTGAACGCTGATGCTTTCCGTTGTGTCTTCAAGTAATCCTAGACTTGTGTGGGACTGGAGACGAGGTACGCGTAAACTGATCCCCTTGAAGGTTTTGTGCGCAACGCTAGCAATGGGACAGTAGATAACGCGAAAAAAATTGTAGGCACTACCAGGGTTCGAACCTGGGTTATGGGAATAGTCAGCAACATTTCACATCAGAATCCCATGTGCTGCCACTACACCATAGCGCCCTTTTAGGTGGGTGTAGATAATATAATATTGACTTTGAGATTGAAACCGTGACGCGCCCGTTATACCACGTGATGTATTCTCATTGCGAATCGGCGAGTGATGATCATTTCCTCTCGACGACGACGGCGGCAATGGACGAATCTGCTTTGTTGCTCCTCATCTCTTGCAGATTCAGTGAGTGCCGCGTCCTGCCTACGCTTACTCAGGTAGAGAAATGATGCAGTTTCTTGTAGTTCCATACGACCAATGGCTCACCACCCACGTCGACCCTGCGTGGAAAGTGAAACAGGTAAAGCACTGGATTCTATCAAAATGTATATCCCACGGAAAGGAGGAGGTCGACATTGAAGTACCAGAGCCACGGCACAGATCTCCGTCTCCCATTGTATTTGCACCGCCGAAGCATCTTCGACCTATATCTCCTATCGAATTCAGTACAAGGGTCGGGAGCGGGTACGAGGAGGATGACGAGGCTGACGCTGAGGGTAACGACGTTCAGAAACCACCTGCTCAGCTTCCAAGCATGTCTGTGTTACCTTTCACCGAACCGTCGCCTCCAGCGAAGTCGAAGACCAGACGTAAGATGAAATCTACTTCATCCTCGGAGCCTATACATCCCCATCACCGCTCAGCATATGAACCGTCTCGTCTCACTCTGCTACGCTTTTCAACTGGGCAGATTTTGGAGGATGATTTCGCGTTTGCTTGGTATGATATTCAGCCTGGGGAGCTTTTCGAGGTCCATCGCGTTGGTGTTGTGCTGAAACTCCAGAGAACGGCACCGACGGAATATGCGAAGCCTTATTGGGAAGGATGGGTGAAAACAGTGAACACGAATCCGAACGGGAAGAAGAAGAACGTGATGGGCGACGGGGGGAAGGAAAGCAAGTTTGAGTGGAAAGACCGGTGGGTGGTGGTCAGAGAAGGTCAGATGCAATTGTGCAAAGACCGTTCCGTAAGTCTGCTCTCATTATGTTGTTCTTCTTTTGTTTTCAACTTTGCCAAAGGATCCTATTCCACACAACGCTCTTTTTCTGTCCCATTTGACAGCTATTCGCGGATCAGATCATCTTAAGAAGAGCGCCATAAAGGTCACCCCGAAGATGCGAATTATTTGCGCAAAGTTCAAGATACGTTCGAGTGTCACAACGTCAACAGTAGTCGAAACGGTCTCTTCTGAGAAGGATGCTGTGCCATCAACGACGTTCACCGTAATATCTCCCGCCAAGAACCTCCAACCAGCGTTGACCATTGACCTTCGACGGACCCGGAAACGGTCATCGACAATATCTCACCTACCTCACAAAACCGGCCATGATTCAGACTCGACTAATCCAGATGGGGAAGACGACTCTGATTCTACACTGTCTTCTCCCGTGTTTGCTCACGATCCTGGAACAGACGAAGGGGGTGATGATCACGATGATGACAATGATGTCAAGGCCGTTCTTGGCCTTCGTTATGGACCCCGCCATCGATATAGACACGACAAAGCCATTAAAATCCGTGGCTCGGCAGAAGATGACGACGATTTACCTTCCATCGATCCATCAGGAGAAAATTCCTCTGAAATAGGTGAATGGATCGTCCTGGATCTGCTCGAAGACAGCGGGTATATGTCCTTGTTGCGTACGCTCCACCGTCTGTTCCCGCATGAGACTCTGTCAATAGCCGAGGCATCGACATTTGTCTCCACACTGCTGCCATCCTTGGACTCACCTGACACTCCCATCCCGCCTACCCCACCGCCTACCTCCACTTCGACTCACCCGACCTCGCTGCTTCCGTCAGTACCACATAACTACGGCGCACTGGCGTTCCCCGAATGGCGCACGGAGTTGGTGCGTCGTGCACGTAAAGCCGGAGTTGGACACATCGGCAGCGCCATGAGATATTTGATGTGGGGCCTGGAACATGCGACAGAGGAGGAGGAAGAAGAGGAAGAAGAGAGCGATACGGGATCGCTGGCCGAATGGGATGGGTGGATGGTCGATCTGCAAAGGCAAGCTAGTGCTATGAAGGAGCGCGAACAGGAGCTGGAGAACGATGATGAGTATGAGGCCGAGGACGAGGACGAAGGTGACTACTACCAGGAGCAGTCTGAGAGGATGGCCATGGAGCCTTCGGCTGTGGTGACTTCGGTCCCGCCGTTTTCCTCGCCTGCCGCGACGCCTCCGCTGTCGTCTCCGCCTTCCTCCGAATCGCTGTACAGGTCACTGAATGTGAATGAGCTAGTTGACGGGCATGGCCGTGAGCTGCGACACAGTAGGTCGGACGAGCCGCAGCTTCATGAACAGGGCCCAGCGCGTCGTCCGAGTATGCCGTCACTGTTGTTTGGGGGAGCTGGTGTGGGGAGGTCGAGTAGCGTGCTGAGGAAGGGGAAGGGGAAGGAGAGAAGGAAGGACAGGGTTCACCAGGATGAGGGGGCTGACACTGAAGGGAAGAAGAAGAGCGGGCTGGTGAGGGGCATGGAGAAGTTGGCGAGGGGTTTGGATCCGACTTTGGATTTCGTCGACCCTCGTTAATGGTTATTGATGTAAGAGTAATATGTTGTACTGTACACACTTTTTTTTTTGGGAAAGCCTGGTGTATTAATTGTAGGCTTCTGTATAGATATCGGTACTTCCTGTAGTTTAATGTCTAGAACCCGTAGGACTTGAATGCTAATACATGCTCTCTTTTGACCTGGTGATAGTAACTATACTAATGGCCCGACTTAATCTATGATGGCAAGGCCCGAATGGCGAAGCGTCTGAAATATCAATGGGTGTTGATCGATTAACAGCTATACAGTGAGAAGGGGAACTGTGATGTGAAGGTCCAGATCCATGCCCTCGTTCACACAGCGGAAAACAGCAATGTTCAAGATGAAATGACTTGGCCACCAGACGTACGATCGCTTAATCGGTGGTCCCAGTCAGCAACGAAGTTACCTAGCTAACGGAAAATACCACGCTGCAACTCGTTTTGTTTTTTCGTATGCTTGGGCGAAGATCTCTCTCGAAATTCAACAGCAAATGAAACAAAATAAAACAAGCCTATCCCTGCAGAAGCGACCGCTTAAAACCAGCAGTGAGGAAAAACGGCTTTTCCCACCGGAGTCGGTTGATGAACAAAACAAAGACTGAATGTATGGTTCGGGGGTTTGAACGCGGACCAGTCCATCAATAGTGTGGACTCGAAGGAACCTGTCACTGGGCATGAAAAGGATTTCGGTATCTGCATCCTGGCGGTTAGGAACATGCTATGGATGCGACGATACCGTGGTAGAGGCAGAAAGATTTCTGCGTTGCGTCGGTGAGAAAGGTAATTGAGCGCTCACATATAAATACAAGGAACTCTTATACCGAGTTTCGAGATGAAAACCCCATAGACCTAACCATGTATACATACAAAGCAAGAGATAAGAAAGCAAGGTCGTCAATGCGCGAACAGCAGCTAGCCGTAGTCAATAAGTATATCGTAAGGTGTCGTGACAAGTCATGAAATAAACACGAGAAGAAAGAAATAGGTTCTTATCAAAACAAAGATAATCCGCAAGATGAATGGTTTTGTGGGTTGTTATCGCCTCCGAACGACGATAAGGCTCCTGCGGATTAACACCCTCAGGACGACGGCACAGACTCCCAGGCCGACCAGCAGGATATAAGAGGGCAGTCCACTGAGCGTAGTAGGCTCGACGAATCTTTCGTAGTAAGATGATGTCAAGAAGCGCGGACGCTCGCCACCATTGAAGGGCATCGAACGAGCACCGAATAGCGCATGGAAGATCTTTCCTAGATATGTCTGAGGTTCAAGTTGAGTTGTCCGGTATGCTTGAGCTCGCTCCTTTTCCTCTTGTCGCTCCTTCCCCTTCAGTTCTGCCTCTCTCTCCCTTTCCGCCTCTGCTTTCTCCATGCTCTCGACATCCTTCTCCACAGCCTCTAATCGCAACTTGAGCTTTTCGATAAGCTGTTTCGTCGTTTCGAGGTCTTTCTCGAGCTCCTCCACTTGCGCTCGCGCATGAGCATCAACGGCGGGCACAGGTTCCTCGGGAAGAGGTCCTACGCCAACGTCTACCATTGTCTTCGCAACAGGGCCCAGCGCGAAGAGGTCTTCCACACCTGTACCAGGAACAGGAAGAACACGTTTCACTGTAACCCTTTGTACGCCACCCTCCCCATCGGCATTGTCCTCAGCTTCCGCCTCCCAGGCATGCACACCTACAGCTCCTCCACGCCGCTTCTTTGGTCGCTTTGTGACAGAGGAACTATCAAGTCGTTCCGTGAACGGCGATACCGATGACAGGTGGGAATTAGCAAGAAGCGCTTCCATTGATGGTTCCTCCTCGGGGGGAGACACAGAAAGGGAGGAGTCCGAAGGCGTCGCAGGCAGTGGACGCGGTTTGACCGTGGCATGAGCGCTATCAGCGGTTTCGTAAATACTACTCCCGCTACTGGTGCTCGCATTGCTCCCGCTCCGTTCACGAGGAGAATGACCATCAGAAAGTCCCTCATCGACGCTGTTACTTCGCTCAAAGGTTTCTACCATACCTTTGACGCGTCCGTTCCGATATCGACCGCCAGAGGCCTTTCCCTTGAGGCTTCGACGTATGGGCGTGTCAATGTTTTCCAAGTCTTCAGATGAAGCCGAGCCGTTGACGAAAAGATTCGATGAATATGTTTCACTGAGTGAGGAAGATCTCCTGCGTAGATGGCCATTTGGCGTGTGCTCATCGTCAGATACATCGACAACAGAGTACGGGGAGCCATCTATGCCATTACCGAAGCCCCAGATACGGCCTTTGAGGACATTCTGACGAAGACTCCGCGAGGCTGAAAGCAGAGCAGAACGCCAGAGTTTGTTGATTTGGAACCTTTAGAGATATTCGGTCTCAAAGTCGAAGAAGAAAAGTAAATTGTACACACTGTTCCAAGTCTTCTTCCTTCATGTGGAGGAAAGACCTGCCGGTGATTCTGCTCTCCCTGACAAACGTGGCAATATCCTGAGCTACAGGCGCTGGGAGCTGTAAGGTCTCGCCAGACCGCACCTTCAACGTCGTGGAAAGGTAAAGAGACAGTTGGGAAGGCGTCCAAGACTTTGGGTTCGTTGGGAGATCATCCAGCGCAGGCAGGCGCCGCGGCCCTACCCCAGGCGGCGTAGGCAGTGTCTCCGACCGTTTGGGCTTCCGATCAGATGAACCCTCGCTCGTCGAGTCGCTGAAGACGTCACCTATACTGTGTGAAGGAGACGGCGGTGGAATGGGCAATGGTCGTGGGAGATCCGAACTTAGGCTTCGGCTGTATCGATGCCCGCGACCATTTAGTTTCGGCGACGAGTTCGACCTCGATGGGCCGGGCGATGAACTGGGCACATAATGGTGGGCGGTGCTCTGCTGTTGCGGCGAGGCATTTGAGTTGGAGCGAGTAAGAACCCCGGTGGAGGTCGTCTTTATCGGGTAGGGATGGGCGTTGGGACGTAGCGCTTCCTTCGTTGGAGAAGCAGGACGAGGAAAAGAAAATGCTTGGCTTTCTGTCTTACTCATCGTGTCATACAATGACCTCGAGCGCGAGCTCGTCGTGCTCGATGACGGCGAAGAGGAATCGATTTGGGAAGCCGTGACCTCCAATGTGACAGCGTCACATCGGTCTAATCGGTCCGGTACCGAGAATTGGCCCCGATATTCGCAGATTTCGTCTTCCCATTCCTCGTACCAATTCAATCAGCACCGACGAAACCATAAAACGTACGAGAAATCCTTGTATCTAAACGCTCCGACAACTTCTTAAACCATAAACGATGCCTCTGATGGCTTATATATTTGGCTGATCACACCCAGCATCCTCTGTACTACCATTTTTTTTCGATTTAGGTATATCGTTCCCTCACTGAACTTCACGACAGATTTATGTCTCAGAGTAATCTCCGAGGGTGTCCTATGTTTCGATTTGTAGAAGTCTGTCGATGAAATACTGAACATCGTTCGGATGAAGTTCTAGACTTTGGAGGGACAGAAAATATCGGGTATCTGTCATTGTGGCGCTTTGTGTCCCTGTAACCCGCTCAGGCCCGTCGGCAGTGGCGCACTTACCTTCAAGTCACCTCAACACTTTTTCATCACACCCAGAACGATGTAGAGCCTAGGTACAAGGGCGAGGGACTGGGCAAAGCTTCTCCTGTCTTTGTTTCTCTCGATAAGGTGCTGACAAGATCTTGTATCCAGGCATCACACGCTACTATCTATGCTCAACACATCCCGAGTTTTGTCTCAGGCTTGAAATACTCGCTTTCCCTTGCAATTTCACCCGACATGAATCAATCTCTCGATTCGAAGTGTGAATGAACTTTACTTGATAGCACCTAGGGAACAGAAACACGAATCGATGCTGTTCATTTAAAAAGTTCTCCGCGTTATTCGTGGGCCTGAGGGGGTTATAACGCGGCGACCTTAAAGAATGAGCGTGGATTCGATGTTTCTGCTCTCTCAGGCTTCCAGCATGGGAGTTTCATTTTGCATTGTTGCCGCTCCATTTTTGTTTGTCAATCAGAGCAGAACAGAACCGCGAAAGAACACTCTCAGACAATTATGGAACCGCTATCAGCAACGCTAGTGCAATGATGGAGTCAAGCTAAGCTTTGGTGCCATTCTCAAAGTTGTGTTTCTTTCAGGGTAAGACTCGTGCTACCGCCTGAAGCGTTGTATACCTACCCGCAAGAATCGGCGTTTTCTTCGGTTGCTATCATTCTCGGCCGAGCCTTGCGTGCCCAGACTCAGGGTACTTCACATCGTCTCAAAGTCCACGGAACGAACCTGCCGTTCTATTTCATATGTACACACATGCCAGTCGACCCTCGGAATCAAACGATCCTGAATACCATGCGTAGCCCCCCTGCAAATCAAGTTCAAGACGACTTGGGCTTCTTGGAGCCGCGCTGGAGCCGTGGTCCCGCCGTAATGATGCTGAGAGACTGTACGGGAGAACATGTCTGACCCGAGGTTTAACCAGTTTTTAGTCAGTGCGACCTTCTGACGCTTCATAGAATGGCTGATTCTTTCCTGATAAATTGGCAAAAAAAAATTGACCATCAAAAAAAAGGCTGTGGGAAATTTTTAGCCTCTTCGCATGAAATCAATGGATGTGGAAGGCTCTGAGGTGTCCGTACGGCCGATAGAAGGCTGTCACGCCGCCGTTAAAGGTACTGCAATCCAAATCAAGCACCGGAAGCTGAAATTCGAAGAAAACAAATCTCGCAACCGCTTGATCTCGGACAGTCCTCGAAAACCGGGATCAGGAGGAGATAATTAGGCTCTGATGGTAACTCGAAGTAAGATCGCAGCAGAAGGTGTTGTGGCTCGCATGGGTCGCGTTCCGATACTAGATCTGATTCCGCTTCGGGTATCAATTGCGCTATCTGCGAGTCGGTGTCACAGTGGTCGGCGGCCCCGTTTATTTCAATTTGAAGTAGAGACAGACCAAAATGAGCTACAGATCAGGCCGCGGCGCGTGCAAAAAGATCTCAGAATGCCACAGAAGATCTTGAAAGTATTTCAAAGTATTTCAACAAATATCCGGAATTCTGGCGGATACACACATATGGTACCTTTGGAACCCATACATTTGTCTTTCGTTCTGATGCCCGTCGGGGTGAGGATGAGTTTCAGTAAGCTTGAGTGCCTTAAGAGTGTCTAGGTCGATTTAGCAGCAGGCTGAGATTATTGTCAGGAAGGTTCAACCCGTCGACCTGAAACAGGTCACGTGTGCGTGACGGATAACGCGGCTATTGAAGTTCAACTCCGCAGTTGTAGTGAGATAGATTCCAATTCTTGCTCAACAGCTCTTCTCATGACATAAACATCCATCCCTGACTATCTCTTCGGTATCGCCAATGATTGGCAAAACCCTTCCCGAGTACATCTTCATCCGAGCTGCAATCACTGCTCTCCGTCTTGTAGCCCCTGTCAGCATTCTCTACCTTGTGGTTTCTGCGTATCGTCATTCTTTTCTTATTTCTCCGTGGATATCTTTCTTTACGATACCCGAGGCATTATTCCATCTGTTTGTCTTTCTTCCTCGAAGGAAGACGTTAGCTAAGGTGCGTAAAGACGCCGGAGTTACGGACGACCATCGTTCCTGAACGCTGTCATAGCCAGCAACCTATGCCCCCCAACTCCTCACAAAGGAAGAACGCAAAGCACTGTTTACTCGTTGCTTCAGAACGGTCTTTGATATATCCCAGTGGTTTCTTTGCTCCGACATTCTTTCAATCAAGAGGGAAAATGTTATCGACTGGCTTCTCTGGGGCTTTTTCTCACATGATGGCAAGAACGCCGATGAAATGGAGCAATGGAGAAGCGAAATAGACGACTTCATTTCTGCTCTCGAAGTTAAAGCGCTCGCGGGGGCGAACTTTGAGGAAGGACGAAATAAGAGCATCAATTGCATGCGGCTAACATTTGACCCAGTCGTAGTGCTGCATCGGCCGCTTATTTGGTATACTGTAAGGCTCATCATCCTTCTCCAGAAAGACCATCCTGATCTCTTTATGTTATGCTAAGATCGTATGCTTCGTTGACATGTACACAGCTGGCCACTTGGCATCCCTGGGTTTCCGACACTACGCCCCCAAGAAATGGTTCCAAGCCTTTCCACCCCGTCCCTTCAGCATTTTTTCACGTGCTTCAACGGGACTGCATGTACCGTATTGGTACCGTCCACATCGATCAACAATCAAGAACCCTGTGATTTTCATTCACGGAATAGGCGTGCGCCTTCATTTTTCGGCTGCGTCTCATCCAAGGCACTGATCCCCAAGTTTCAGATAGGATTATACCCGTACATTTCATTCCTTCGTGGACTTGTAGCGTCGGATCCTGATGTGGGCATACTGCTCATCGAAATCCTGCCTATCAGTATGCGCATGACGTCAATGCCGGTATTGCCTCGTCCGGCGATGCTAGATGAATTCTACGCCATCACATCGTCGCTGAACATCACTCGGGCGGTGCTGGCGTCGCACTCTTATGGAACTGTGGTTGCCGGTCACATAATGCGGTCGCAACAAGCCACCGAGGGCCCGCCACCGCCGACCAAGATTACGGCATACTGTTTTATCGACCCCATCCCATTTCTTTTACATCTTCCTGATATTACTTATAATTTCCTTTATCGTACTCCCAAAGACGCAAACGAGTGGTTACTTTGGTATTTTGCCAGTCGCGATGCTGATGTGGGCCGGACGCTGGCTCGTCATTTCTTTTGGGCCGAAAATGTGATGTGGAAAGAAGATCTAGAGGGAGAGAACGCCGCCGTGGTGTTATCAGGGGAAGATCAAATCGTTCCAACAAGGAAAGTATGGGAGTATCTAACAGATCAACCTCACGGAAGGGAGAGGTGGGTCAAAGAAGATGGAAAACTGGAGGTGCTGTACTTTGATGGCGCAGATCATGCAACTGTTTTTGCAAAAAGGACTTCGCGCACCGGTATGACTGAAGTCCTTCAGAGATTTTCCAGGATAGATGTTATGAATTAGACATGTAACATTGGGCATCAAATTCCGCTGCCGTTCTAGAATGCGGCGGCAATAAAGATTGAGAAAATTACAAGTTTAACGATAGATACTACATGAAAACCATGCCTTGCTTTAACACTGCCGGCAGAAACGGTTGGCGACGATGATGCAGAATTCCCGTACGAGTTTTATTTTCCCACTCTCTTATCAGAAAGTTGAAACGGTTTCTAAAACAACTAAGATATGCCGATGCTTGTGGTTTACTGTGAAAGACCTGAATTAGAAAACGACACGGCATCATTAATCAGATACACCTGGAGTTCACCGAGCACCGGAGGAATTTCCAGGGATGAGGCAGGTGGTTCCCGAACAGAGTCGTTCTATTAAATAAAGGCATTCATGTACGCCAGCTGCTTCTTCATGCACTAATGTTCCCACCCAGACGGTAACTCACCGTAATGGACCAGGGAATATAATTTCATTACGCCGACTTGTCCTCAATCCTCAAAATAGAAAGAAATAAAGTTTGTGTGCCGAAGACGAAACAAGGTGCGAAATGAACGGTACCTCTACAATGTTAGTCAACAAATACTCATCGGGAGCACAAGAATCATTTACCTTGAGGTCGATTCCGAGGTCCCCGATGAGAACCAGACGAATGCGTTGATTGCGCAGTGTATTTTGTTATGCCATAATCCAAAGAAGAAACAAGGGTACGTACTTTATGCAACCAAGTTTCGATGGCCTCATCACTGAAGATGTATATCCCCGTTGGTCAGGGTATACGCGTATGTACTTGTGTCGCCGAGAACAACGACAGTCGCAACACAGCGTCTCAAGTCTACAGGTACCTGGCGAAGTCGATCAACGGCCGTATCCATGGTCATCTTCGTATTGGAACATCGAGACACAGTCCAGGAATTGCCACAGTTGTCGAAGATGACGTTAGGAGCTGTCATGCCTTCAGTAGGAATGCTATATGCCCCAGTTTTCTGGTAAAGTTTCAAGTGTCGTTAGAGAAGGCGTCGCGTGTTTGCCGTCATAGTAAAGTCAAGTTTGTCTTCTTGGGCGCTGAGGTTGAGAGCGGCTCATCTTACGACAACGGCATTCTGTAAAACTTCCCAAAGATGTTTTGGCGGATATAACGGTGGCGTCAACGGGGAGCGGCCGAGCAGGGAATAGGAAATAGGCAACGGAGAGGAAATTATCGATATTTTTTGCCGGACCAGCTGCAGGGGACGTCGACGAAGAGCTGATTAGGAAAAGAAGGGCACAGATCCTTCCAGCATTCCTCAAAGAGCTATCAAAGAAGTTGGGGACGTTGTACAGTAAAGGAAAGTGTCTTGTACACCCATAGTCAATGTTAGTGATGGGTTGCTACGGTATTATTGTTATCCTAGTCCAGAGAGCGACGACCGTCAACATTTGTCCAACAATAGTGTTCTGGCTTTGGTAACCGGGGTCCGATATTTGGGCGTCATAGAAAGTACGTGGCGAGAGTAAGTATGTAAATAGATCCGTGACTCGAAAAGACACGTCACAAACACGGAGGGCGATGACTAGTTGTGGTTAGGGTTCAAGCAGTGTTATTATTTGGTGGAATAGTTAGAACCAAATAGATCCACGTGCGATGGATTGCTATGCCCCTACTCCGCCCAAGTCAGCAGCACACGTTCATTACCCTACGACTGCTTAGCTGAATCTACGCTATTTAATCCCTTCTTGGCCCTGGAACAGACTCACGACTTCATTTCTACGAATCAACCATGAAGTTTAGGTATTTCATCACTTTGTCGGTGTCGAAAATACAGACTAAATATTTGGCCTCAGCTCCTCGTTGAAGTTCAATGCTGTATCCGAGTGGTGGGACGAATACATTGCGTGTGTGATCCGTATTTTTTTTTCCCGATATCTTCACTCACCCGATTGCCTAGGTACGAGACACTAAAGAAGTACATCTATCAGCTCGAGAAGCAGCAGACTGAATTGGATCATGCATACCATGACCTAGAGTCCAATGAAACATCATTCTTGGTCGGCCGTCAAGCTACAGCAACTGACGCTGTTTTTATCCCCTTGCTTGACAGGGAGCTCAAGAAAATCGTGCTTTTCTATGAGGCCCAAGAAAAGGAATTGTTGGAGGAACTACAAGAGCTCGAGAACCTGGTCATACAGCAAGAAGAAGTAGGATACAACGACGGCAATTATTATGTGGACGAGGGGTTATACGATGATGATGATGACGATGACAGTGAGCTGGGACCTATCGCTGATCCCACACATCGACGACGCCGGTCGTCTATTTCGAGACATCGCCGGAGTTCTTCCGCATTCACAGGTACGCAAATGGCTCAATAAATTGATAATGTCTACTCATAGCCTTGTAGCTGGAATTCCGGAGGAGTCTCCTACCCGACACAGATATAGTATATCTAGTGACGAATATGCCGGTCTTGAACAAAGCACCTCTTCCCTCCGGAATGAGATGAAGAGCAAACGTGCCTTGAGCAAGATTACGAGTCATCTTCCCTTTATCGGTGGCACTGCGACGTCCGCACCGTCTGACACAATATGGACCGCCAAGACGAATTTTGCGTACGACACGCGACTACTGTATAAACGTCGGATTACTACGTTGTACACCTCATTTACGTCGTTGAGGTCTTACGTAGAGATAAATTATGCGGGATTTCGGAAGATATTGAAAAAGTTGACTTCCCTTTTCTATCCCCATTCGTCATTCTAACATACAACTTTCTATAGATACGACAAGGTCCTGTATGGCGATCTCAAAGACCGTTATCTTCACGACGTCGTAGAAGTTGCACAACCTTTTACCCAAGAGTCTAAAGACGGACTCAATGATGCCATCGCGCGCCTAGTGGATATGTACACGAAATGTGTTACTCGTGGCGACAAATACACTGCCAAGCAACAGCTGAGACTGCATCAGCGGGAACAGATCGCATGGGAGCGAGATACCGTTTGGCGGCAGATGATTGGTCGTGAACGGCGGGGCGAGGGCACAGGACCCAAAGCTATCGGAGTGGACGGACTCAAAGAAGATGATGACCTAGTCGACGTCTCTACTCCAGTTGGTCGATTGAAACTTTCTAAAAGGCTGCTATGGGTTTCGGTGGCCTTGGCCGTCTTCATTACCATGTTGAATGTCCAGATCATAAAGGGTGAAGCAGCCAACCGGTGTCTTGCCATCCTTGTGTTCTGTACAATATTATGGGCTACAGAGGTTTGTTTCGGGCTGGCTGCTCGCCTTTCCTTTTCCTCATTTTTTTTTTCACAGGCTATTCCGTTATTCGTCACGTCAATGACAGTCCCCATACTCGCGGTTTGTTTACGTGTCATCAAAGACGACAATGATGAGCGCCTTTCGCCTCCCGCTGCGACCAAGTGAGTCTTCCTGTCTCCGCCAGGTGATATCTGTGAATCTGATCTACTTCGAGATTTATATTTTCGGTCATGTTCTCTCCGACAATTATGCTTCTCATTGGTGGGTTCACGATATCGTCCGGGCTCAGCAAGACGAATATCGATCGGATCCTTATTACACGCGTTTTGAGCCTGGCCGGAACTAAGCCGAGGACCGTTCTACTTGCATTCATGGGCGTGTCGTGCTTCGCCAGTATGTGGATAAGGTGAATAGCCTTCTGCACCTGTTCTTTGCCAGAATTGATCCGCGGTTCCAGTAATGTGGCAGCACCAACGTTATGCTTCACGCTCATTCGTGTATGTCATATGTTGCTGTATGAACGTCAAACGATAACGGTGTCTATGCATAGCCCATTTTACGAACATTGCCATCTAAAGCCTCCTTTGGACCGTGTCTAATTGTGAGCACCAAAAGATGCGTCATGCTTTGCGTCAAACTGATATCTGTTTACGCTAGTTGGGGATTGCCCTGGCGGCTAACATTGGTGGCCAAAGTTCGCCTATATCCTCACCCCAGAATTTGATTGCTTTGGAGAAGATGGATCCCCCTCTTGACTGGGCCAAATGGTTTGCTGTCGCGCTACCCGTGTCTGCCATTTCGATCCTCCTAATATGGGGCCTTCTTTTGGCGTCATACCGGCCCGCTGAGTCACCGGATGGTGATGGCGAAATCGAGATCAAGACGATCAGACCCACAAAGGAGGCCTTCACTGCGAAACAGTACTGGGTGTCCTTCATCTGTCTCTTCACCATCGGGCTTTGGTGCGTGGCCCATGAGATCGAGCGCTATGTGGGTGATATGGGTGTGATTGCGCTCATTCCGATCATTGCGTTCTTCTCAACGGGCGTGTTGAAGAAGGTGTGTTTGTGCATTTTGTCTCAAAAGAGTTTACTGAGAAGCGTCATAGGATGACTTTGAACAATTTGCTTGGACGATCGTCTTCCTAGCAATGGGCGGGATTGCCCTCGGCAAAGCGGTAATGTCGAGCGGTCTTCTTGAGGTGATGGATATCGTAATCCGTGACATGGTTGATGGGTTCAGTTTGTACACTGTTGTCATGATCCTTTCTCCTATCGTGTTGGTAAGTCTGATCTCAATGGCCTTCGCTATTCCGCGAATCATTGCAATATCATGTCTTAGGTTGTATCCACTTTCATCAGTCACACCATCGCAAGTGTACTTCTGGTGCCTATCGCTGCTGAAGTTGGCTCAAGCCTCGAGGGTAATCCGAAGAATCTTCTCATCTTCATCACAGGCCTCATCTGTTCCGCTGGAATGGGAATGCCTGTTTCTGGCTTCCCGAATCAGACGGCGTGAGTCTTACTCTTTCTCCTGTCACAATTGCACCGGATAAGGTACTGAATGTGTGGCACAGTGCGACACAGGAGAACGAGCTGGGTGAACTTTATCTAACTAATGTGGACTTCTTAAAGAACGGCGTGCCGGCGAGCATTATCGCCACCCTTGTGAGTATTCTTACATCTTCTCGGCAATTCTCTGTATAACGACCGCTTCTCGTAGGTTGTGACAACTGTTGGTTTTACACTGATGAAGGTTATTGGGTGAGTCCCCGTGCCAGCCTCGTGTCTGCATATCATTGACGTCTTCCGAAGTATTTGATGTGAAATGTAGAGAATACAGTTATTAAACTTCTGTCTGTTCCTCCGCTGCGCAGTCTGAGTTTTCACAAACGTGTTCTTAAGGGCCCCTCCTCTTTAGGGTATTGAAGGCCGCTGTGCGGTTAGCGCTTGATATATTTGCCCAGCAGTTACCAACGATCTCTGCAGTTCTTTATCTAAGCATCTGACAATAATGCAGGGCTTCTACAAATATCATATATGCCACGACCCCCTTTCATTTTCTGGGCTAGGAGGGAACGACGTGAACTGTCGAAGGTGTGATTATCGTATATTCCGATCAAAAGTGATCGAAGGAGGTGCTGCGTAGAAAAACGTGGACCGAGGGTAGGCATCGAGATTGCAGCTCGAGCCTGTCCTCGAACTTTTCGGTGCCGGCTGGTATAAACGCAATTATTGTGCGATCATGTGTTTGGGAGTATTAGGGAAAGGTCCAGCCGCCCAAGTGGTAAAGGGGCTAAGATGATTTTATACAAACGCGGCTGTTGTATAATATTTTCCGTTAGTCCCAAATCCATTAAATATGGGCCACAAGGACAACCGATAAGACTCCGGTAAGTAACATGGCTGCAATATGATGGACCAGGTATTGAGCACAGTGGTGCCAGCTAAATTTCATAACCAGTGCTAATTGCAGGTGGAAAGAAAAGGGAAGCCATTTACATATAATAATGATAGTACCTGGAACACAAGTCCGAGATGAATAAGGCTATCAGAGATATTCTAGCAAAGTGTGTGCCGCAAGAGAATCCGAAATAGATGCGTACAACATTAAGATGTGAATATACATATGTATCATAGTTATACAAGCTTGTTACATGCCAAATCGAAAGCATTTATGATGAAACTATAAAAAAGATAGTGTTTCAATTAAAACGGTGACATATTTCACCAAGGTCGAAGTGGTGACGACGACTCATCAGAAAAATCAGCCATCAAGGACCGATGTTCCTTTGCCTTCACAGCCAAGTGCTCCTGTGCGACGGCCGAGTGTTTAAAGGGCCACCCCGGATTATGAAGCCCACGGAACACGTCCACGGGTGCAGATGAGGTTACAGAAGGCAGCCCAGAGGGTATTGAGTGGGGCGTAGTAGGAGATATGGGAGAGGCGTTTGAAGAAGTACTCGATTGGGAAGCGCCGGACGAGGGTATAGTGATGGGGGGGAAACACGGATGAGCCCGTCTTTCGGACTTCATACGATCACCGTAAGAGCTCTGCCAGTAGGGGTTCGCGGACTGCGGACTGTAAGCAAAGGCTGTGAGATGGTTGTCAATTAAACACAGAAGGGACAAACACCCACTTGGAAATTGGGGAAGTTGGGGAGGATGGTGAGCGCCTCCTGTCCCACTGCTGATCCGTCTCGGAATGGGAGGCTTCATCGCTATCATCGTCGGATCGTAGACGGCGCAGAACTGCAGCGGAGTCGTTTACGTCTATGCCTCTGAGGTCTTCCAAGGCCGATATCGGAGGCAAGGCATACGGTGATGGCGATAGGTGTTTGGACAACGCGTGACGATCGGTTCGAATAGGCGGAAGGACAAAATGTTCTATGGGCCGCGAATTCCGCGAAGACTTTAGTGAATCCAAGGGAACAAGCTGATGCGAGGGACGGCTGGAAGGTGTAGAGGGTGGTGGATATGGTGAATATCGAGGTGGCGGCCCCCGACTCTGACGACGCGCAGATGGACAAGAAAGAGTAGGCGGGAAGGTGTCAACATCCATGTTGAAGTCACACCGCTGCTCCTGGAGAGAAAGGTATGGAGAATAGACAGGAAGTACTCTTCGACTGTCCGATCTTGAGTCGTCTGAGTTTGTGTCTTTCACCACGTTCCACTTTACGGGTTCTACGGTGCTAGAGTAAGCAGGAGTCTGGGTTCCTCTCCGTGCACGTCGTCGATTGTGGCCAGCAACAACTTGACCGTAACCCGGCTGGTCTGGAGACAGACATGTGCTTGGAAATGTGGGTCTACCACAAAATATGTGAGCTGGACAGTTATGGCGGTATAAATACGGCGCTGCTTACCCAAACAGTGGCACTAACTCGTCTCTAATGGGCCAGGCGACCCTAACGCAAATGTCAGTGAGACGTCACTGAACGGAGTAATAGTAACGCACCTTCTCGACAACCTAAGGGCTACCTAGAACGGTTCAGAACGGTAAGTCGGGGAGATAGTGGGGTTTAGTGCAAAGGTGATCGTACCTCGTATGGCATCCATGTACCTTGTATCTTGAGGTAGCCACCTCTGACTCGCCTAATAAGAGGCGCGAGATCAGGCTGGGAGTCAATCATCTTCACAATGTCCGCTAAAAAAAAAAAAACACATATGAGCATCACCGTGCAAAGGCACGCTGGGAAAAAAACGCTCACCCTTCGAATGACCAAGAGCTGGAGGAGGGGGGAAGAGAATAAGCCACCGAGTGTTGGCTAGAAGAAATGTCAACATACCTTTCCAAATTCCAGTCCACAGGATATATCCATCGTCGATATCCATCATGATCCATTGACCGTTCAACGGATATTCATACACAGGACTGGAAATGATGAGCAAGGAAGTGAGCGGCGCGCGACAGAGAGACGCACATGTATCCTCTCGGATCATTACTCGTGATGTATCTGCCTTTGGTTACATGGTGGTTTGGACTGGCGTAGGGGCGAAAGCGCGCGCCAGCGCCTTGCGGGGAGAGTTGCATGGTTTCCTGCGCAGTCGAAGGTCAGATATCAACATGGGCGTTTTAATAGAATCGCGCTGTGTCATACCTGAAGTATTGCTGTTGTCATTGGCCAGCAGAATAGAAGCTACGTCGTGGGATGGGGGGAACAGCTTGAGAGTCCGGAATGAGGTATATGGGACGGAAGGTGGGCCGTGGTGTGGAAGGTGCAGAGTTGGTAGATGTAACGGAAGAGGAGAAAAAGAAACAGGTCTGGGTAGTCACCAATTTCGGCTGTTTTCTGCGAAGCCGCATATCACAGTTCAGGGACCCTAATACGGCTGTACCACGCGTAAACAGGTCTCCATGCGTGCCGTAAATGGAAAGCGAGAGTACGGCTCCAAATTTGACGGCCTCGGCCCCGGCAGCATCGATCAGCAAGATGCACCACCCCTTGAGATCTCATCTGCTCCAATGATTCAGCCAGGGTTCCGTTCCCTGTTCTCGACATCTTCAGGTTCGGCCGCCTATTTTCCGCCAAGCTGGGTTTTTTCCAAAGGAACACTCGGATCGCACTCATGGTTACGGGGACTCGCACGACACATCGATGACCGCGAGGCTCGAGATGTCTGCGGTCCGATTATTCATCCCATGAAACGGAACATTGTGAGGATGTCAGTGGCCTGCAGCAGCGGAATTTGCTTAAGCATTATTGACATTCACGGTTGAGGGGAGATCAGCCCCCGGCTCTCCATTTAGCACGGGTGGATCGAAAATTGTTCGAAACAATTTTCGCCCGTGGAATGATAGAGGGGCAACCAATGGATGGCGGTGGCTGTGATGTGTGACAATATTCAACGATAAAAAAAAAGTGATAATCGGGGGGGCCGGCATCGGATCGGAGACTTACCTAAAAAAGAAATGTCTTCGATCATGACGACTTTTTTCTTATTGTGCCTGGATCCTCGATCGAGCCGTCACGAGTCGGATTCTGTCGGATTGGGCCTGAGAAACGTGTCCGAGGTTCGGAGAAGCCACGGTCACGCTTGTGACACCGCCAACCCGTTTTTATCGCAGTTCTGTCGGTACCGAAACCATGTGCAAAAAGAAGTCCTTGCGTAAGCCACAGCATCCATGCGTTGATAAACCTTACTCTCAGGGTGTCGTCTGGCCTTCAACAAGGTGCGAATAACATAACCTCCAGAAATGTTCTACGGGCCTCCATTGCCCACAAATGAACAGACCGGACATTGTGCTACCAATTTATCGATCCATTCCAAGTATTGGGAGGTGCGCATCTGCAAATAAAATTCATGTCAGAATGGGGTGGGAGATGCGGAACGAATCCCCATGCAAGGAATGACCGTCTGATGGTTGAAAAGTGCTCAAAGTTTCATCCAGCACATGATCATTGATGATGATGATCTGAATGGAACAGAGGCCCCTGGGTGCCATCGGAAAGGGACCAAAATACGTAGACACTCACGGTTGCTGATGACCTGCGGATGAACCGCCTGGTCCGTGGATCGGTTCTCGGGCGAAGGGGCGCTGATGTACGTCGCAAAAGCGAACATATACTTTCCACGCTCTGCGATCAATATGATATCTTGACGATCAGGGAAAAGTTGATCAATATCGTCGGTCACTTTTCAATAAATCGCGTTGGACACTACCCACAGCGACATCTAGGAGGTATTAAACTGTATTGTGGAGCAGATCCGTGTAAAAGACGGCACAAGACCTGCACAGAGGGGCAACGTTCGTTGCACCCACGATGTCAAACTCGACGTGAAAGAATTTCGGGACCCAGAGGACAGAGGGAGCTAGAGAATATAAGGGGACGATTTATACTCTAGGAAACTCCGCCATGTCTTCAAAGTGGAACCTGGAAACAAAGGCCCTTCACCGTGGTGAGCGATCACAGGGGCCAACGGAAAGTGACCGATACCAGCTGTCCTTTTCAATTGATTTGGACTACATCCGCCAGCATCGGGCGGCTACCGCACGGTCTGCACTATTGATCGATTTGATGGCTCGTGTAAAGCGCACCCTCGAGACGCGTTGCATCTAAACTGTTCCTTCATGCTTCTCCGGGGGGAATACATTGCATGGAGCCGCTAGTGACGGTGGTAGTGAAGGCTCGGATAGAATAGATCGGCTGATCAATGTCCCCTTTCACTACGGACAGAGCGGTCTGCGGTCACGACATTGCTTGGCGCATCTGTCGGAGACTTCCTAGACAAGCAGGATACTTGAGGTTCGGAGTAGACCACGAGACAATACTTCGAGCATCCTTGGTAGGTTAAAAACCGTGCTAACGCTGCTCCACAATACAGATATAGGCATAGGCAGAGAAAAGGATGTCTCTACACCCTAAATGTCGCCAGATTTGATTATCGAAGGACGCAGCACAGATCCCATGAAAAATCCAATTTCTCGACCACACACAGCAGAAGATATGGAGAGTTGAGCACCAGAAAGGGATCCGAGATTAAAAGTCTAACCAGGGGGTCCGTCCAGACTCCATAGACGGAAAAAAAAAAATACAGTAATAAATATGAAGAAATATCAATTATTGTGTTGATCTGGCATCATGTTAGTCGAGAAACCACGAGGCGCACAAACAAAATAATAACGTACACCCAGGGTCGGTAATGAGGTCGTTGCCCATTTCACAGCAGAAAGGAGCTTGGACGCTTTGCACAATTAACCGCATAACGGCAATACTGTCAAGGACTGGAAGTTTGGCCCGCGCTGCAGAAACGAACAACGATTTTCGGTCGGTCAATCAGTTTGATGACGGCATAGTACCCACGGCACCAAACGGAATATCAAGGAATGCTGACTCCAAACTTTCTTTTTTTCCATGTAACAACAAGCAAAATCAGAATCACCTGTCTCAAAAAGATATTTTGTTGGATCCGGGATGACGGAATACCGCCAGCGCGCAGTTGCCGCCGTGAACTCTATTATTTCGAGCTGAATCAAAAACCCACGTCCTCGTAACTTCTTCCATCTTCATCTAAAAGTCGGTCTTTAGTGCGATACTGTGAAAAGGCGACGGCTGTAGATTTAGCGGCGCACATGCAGCTGTGTTCTAAAATAAGTCTCTGCAAATAATGCGCCGAGGAAGACGCTTCCATCCTGGATCGATGATGAGAGATATTCAAAGTTCACTTGCCGCCCCAATTGTCAAGTGAAATCAGGCATCTAAACTGATCGATGGATCACATTCGAAGCCTCTGTGACGTCTTCAATTCTCCTTCAATTCTGCCTATCGCCTACTGAGGCTTCCGTAATACACGTCCACTTATCTCAACACTCGCACGGTCCCTGTAACCTCAATCACGGACCAGGTACCTCCGGAAAAATTTACCAATCGAAGCGATCTTGCCGTATGTTCGTTAGAATCTTGTCGCTGAATCGCCGTTAGCAGGTCTTTTGTGCAACGCGATCATGATTGTGATTGTGGCATGAAGAATCTTCTTACACAGTCGGTTCGGTACTTATAGTACAATCCACCCGACACGTCATGTCGCTGCTTCAGACCCACAACATCTTTTTTTTTTGGAACGCAGGGACACCTTCATAAATTAAGTACTCAAACTTACACGTCAATCTGAAGGGAAGCGATCTTCCACCGCCTACCGAGGGGCGGGCCGCGGAGGATGAGCCGTTCTCTCGAGTGACGAGTCTCGACCACCCGGCTTTGGCACTTGATATCGGAGTCGCCTAAAAGCGTGCTATTCCTTCTCACCTCATGGCAAGACGCCTTCTTGCCTTCGCAAAACCCCACACCGATCGTCCGCAGCCCTGCTAAGCTTAAAAAATTTATAATTGTCTCGTTTCATCATGGATCGTTTCAACCTTCCACTTATAGCTGTTCGCATATCGAGGGTACGATCATTTGACAATATTCTGTATAGAGTATAGGTGTCTCGAGTTCCAGAAACGGAGTTCACGGATCCACTACCGTCCATACATGAGTGGATGGATCACTTGTCAAGCGATGTATCTGCACCGAGCCAATTATAACGAAGACGGGTCAAATGCCATTGGTGCGAGACATCGTCGAAATCATTCTTAGTGTGGGTGCGCACCAACTCGGGGCTCTCGTCGACTTCATTATTCACCGGTAATCGCGTGAGACCATGAATTACTTCGGAACTTTGTCTTGCCCTGACTTCACATCCTCTTATATTTATGTGAAGGTGATGCCCCACCGGTGGTGAAGGAATACCTAGGTACTCGGAAAATTACGAATACTTTGTATGGCGCTACGCACCGCGCCTCTGTTATGCCAGCTGCTCAACAGGCCCGGCCAGAGCTGCCTGAAAACATCAGAGACGGGTAAATCAAGGACGCTGTAATGCCCCAAAGCGACGTAGGTACAAGAAGAGACGACCAAATGACTGACTGGCTGTGAATAGGTAACAGACGTGACCATACGTGAGACGCGGAAACAGAGATTTTACAACCGGAACATCAGTACGGCTAGAGTTCCCCTTGCATTTTCTGCGAGATTCCGCCTTTCAGCCCTGGTCCTTCCGTTGGAGGCAATCTCATCTTCTCCGATAAGAGGCTCCATTGGGCTCCGTTCCTGTGGCGTAGGAAGACGGAGCATATGGGTCACCAGACCTCCTCGTCGACTTGGTGGGATACGTTGAGGAGATTGTAAATTGATTAGATTGGCCAGCGGCTCCGGATTGCGATCGCAGCCACGGTGCCTGGACAGGATGGTAAGAAGCGGCAGACGAAGACTTTTCTAAAGGAGGGATGGATGACGTCGGTGCCGAGGGGCCATCCCAGTCCAGAATCCCACCTAACGGTAGGTGTTGGACCACCACACATTTTCCCAATACTTCAGCCTGTCGGAGAAGGTCAGTACGGGTGCGGACGGAGGCAAGAGTGACAACGGTACCTCATACATCTTGAATAATCCCGCGTTGACCTTACCCCAGTTGGGTACACCAATAGCTATTGAGTAAAGCTGGGAAGAGTGCTCATGAAATGGACCATGCTTGACCTGATGAATACGCATAATCGACATAAAATACAAGTTTGTGGGAGGAAGCGGAGGGTGGAGGACTGCTGATACCGCTATTTCAGTCTGGTCTATAGTTGAGAAAAAATCAGCAATAGGACGGGATCAGAATTAGGATTGAGAACCTCGAAGTTGACCGCTACCAAAGATATATCCCAGGAACGAGGAATCATCAAGTCCCCACACGCCGTGACTGCCGGCGGGTTCAAGCATGTAAACATCCTGCAGTCTCCAGCAGAGGCGAAGATATCTCACAAAGACGTCAAGTACGACATCTCGCTCCTCCTCCGGAGTAGGCTGAAGGAAACGAACGAGTGTCAGACAGCACAGAAACAGTGCGAAAGACGTCTCGTGTCCTGTGCCATAATCCATGCGCATAAAAGAGCCGAAAGAGGAGATAAAATATGGTCGGACATGAGGAATTACCGGGGCAAAGTCTGTGGGAAGGAGAGAGAGAAGGAGTCCATCTGCCTCCTACGTAAAATCAAGAAGCTCAGCGACAGATCGTGGAATGGGTATCCAGGCTGAAGTACTAACCTCTTCGAGACGCTTTCCCCAGGTACGAAACGCAAGGTTTCCGAATCTCTGGGGTGTTTTTAGCGGCGGGATCTCTGTTACCCAGCTGTCCAGAATATCCAAGAGGGACATTAATTTTAGAACTGCCTTTTTGCCGTAGTTAATATAACTGTGCGATACAGAGTTACAAGACACATGCCTGGCTGGTATTTGGGTTTTCCCATGGGAGGGTGCATCCAACTACCGCTTCATTGAGTCGGCGCAAATACAAAGCATAGTCCTGGTAACCACGGGTCGTTTTCCATGCCTCAACGGCTTCGTCTGATTGTATTTTTTGGGTCGGAAGTTGAAGATTTGGTACCTCTGAGAGCGGGATTCTGCGCAGCTCCAGCAGCTGATGTGCCATTATTCGTCCCGTGTGATTCGAGTTCAAGGGTGGAAATAAAGGAGGCCAAAGCTGGAATTTATGCTGACGTACGTGCACGTGATCGAACGTGATCGACGCGTCTTTGCCGCTCAGTGAGTCAGTCACGTCACACTGGCCTGAGACTGACTCTTACCATCGTCTTCCTCCATCATCAGGACAGCGACCATATAGATATTTTCAACTCTACGTACGTATCAATGGCGCCTTATGACGACTGGAACAAGGTAGACGACGATGAGGATGAAGAATTGCAAGATACCTCCGTGGGTCCTGCCCCGTCTTCCTTCTTCTAGTCTATTCTGATCGGCAACATCCATCAGTACTTAGAATCCAAGAAGGATGTTATCCTGTTTTGTATAGACTGTTCTCCGTCAATGCAAGCACTGTATGAGGATCCCAATTACGAAGATGTCGTGACAAGCAACCTTTATACCGCGCTTGAATCAGCCATGAAAATCCAGAAAAGGAAAATCATAGTCGGTCCTAATGACTCCGTTGGGATACTGCTATTTAACACGGTGCATGAAAATCGACTTTCCTGACTGTGGCGTAGCTAATAATATGACCAGACAAGAAGGAATGAGAGCAACGGAAATCAAGGTTCGGAAATCAAGAAAAACACGTTTCTTTACCAGCCAATTGCCCCTTTGAGTGCTCCCACCATCCAAGAACTGGTTCACCTGCTTGATGGTTTGTTGTCCCATCTCTGGTAAAGACAGACTCGCAAACGAACTTTGAATAGCTTCACGGGACGACCCTGACGAATTGAGCAAAGCATTTCCTCCTTTGGCTGACAAGAGAGTGCCAATGGGAGACGTATTCACCAGCTGCAACTGGGTCTTACGAGATGGGTGGGTCACTTGATTCCTCCAATGTTGTAATGAACCATGACACGGAACAGGGCACCGAAGACTGCCACGAAACGTGTTTTTCTTATCACTGACGAAGATGACCCACATTCTGGGCCCGGCAGGAAACAGCTCGTCACATCAGCAAAAACAACTCTCCTCGTAGGACCATTTCTGTCTATCACAGTGGCCATCGTGTAGTTAATGCTTCGTTAGGACCTTACACAGGCCGGTGTCACGGTAGAACCTTTTTTCATCAAGACCGCCGAAAAGCCGTTTAATATATCGAAGTTCTACGCTGTTAGTGCATTTAATCTTGTTCTAGTCGCATAGTCGCGTTGCTCACCATGCCCTCAGTCTGTCCTTCTTTCCAGCAATCCCACCGATGATGACGAAGAGAACTCTACCAGGATTCCAGAATCCATCTTTCCAACGCTTGTGGAAAATCTCCTTGACCAAATGCGTTTTCATGAAGTACCTAAGCGGGCTCAATTTAGTATTCCATTCCAACTCGCTAACGGTTTCACGATTGGTGTGAAAGGGTTAGTTCACTATCTTCGTATCACTAACTGTTCATGCTAACGTTGGTCATCTTAGTTACGGTCTGGTGACAGAACAAAAGAAGGGGGCGTACAAATATTTTGCAGATCTCGGAGACAGGATGGAGGTAGCTAACGTGCGAACATCTTATATCGATGAGGTGCGGCCGTCTTGTTGTTCAAAGACACTCTTTCGGTTATCGAACTAAGAATGTATAGGACCGCCAAGCTGAAGTAGACAAGACTAACGTCCTATACGGCACGAGCGGTGGGACTGCTGGAGACGACGATGACAACGAAGGTGATCCCGGCGTCAGAGTCGTCCAATCCGGTCAACGGGTAAGATTCATTTATCGCGAGTTGAGGATTTTTTAATTCGTGGGCATATTTTTAGCCCTTCTACATGCCGGAGGAAGTACGATCGTTCCGTACATTGGGGCTTGAACCTAGTGGGTATCACCCTAGACAGCTGCGGCGCTGTGACTGACCAAATGATAGGCATCAAGTTACTCGGTTTTAAGGATCGAAGCGAGCTACTGTTTGAAGACAACATTAAGCATTCGTTGTTTGTTTATCCTGATGAAATGGTAGGTACGTTCGTCCCACGTCATGTCGGAATCGCTAAGTGGGTATCGTAGTCCTACTCGGGAAGCAAACGAACATTCAACGCTCTCCTGAAGTCTATGATAAAGAAGAAGAAGATCGCCGTTGTCCTTGCCTTGACGAGGAGGAATGCTTCGCCGGTCTTCTGCGCTCTTCTGCCACAGGTAGGTCTCATGCGGTCTCGGCTGGAAGAACGTTCATCTTTCCCTCTTTTCAAAAGGAGGAAAAGGTCGACGAAAATGAATGGATCGAACCTGCAGGGTTCCATCTCATCCCCTTACCGTTTGCCGATGACATCCGCGAGGCAACTGTCAAGGAGGGCTTTCGCGGTAGGTGATCATTGTGTCGTCACTCTGTCACCCGGACTTAATGTTTACACGACAGCTAACGAAGAGCTAAAAAATGCAGCTCGTGCATGGATCGCCAAATTAACAATGAAAGGCGGAACTTATTCTCTAGATTCATATCCTAATCCAGGTGTGTAATTCTCTAGGCTTCTATCTGTTTCTACCGGTGATCTAATATGTTCACTTCCAGCATTGGAATATCACAACGCGCAGCTCCAAGCTAGCGCGTTTCATGAGCAGTACGATCCGGAATCCTTTGAGGACCTGACTGAACCTCCAATTGACACGATCCATGAGGTTTGTTTGAGTGCAGATGCTATCTGTTCGCATACGTTTATTGATTCTGTCATCATATTAGCGTGCTGGAAAGCTGATCCAAGAGTGGAAGGAGGCTCTGGTCATGGACGAATCGGCTAATGTTGTGGCCCTCCCAAAAACAGCTGGGATCAAGCGTAAGGCGGTACGTATTCCCTAGGACCTTGTAACGCGTGTTGCCTCGTGCACTCATATGACGACTGTAAACAGGACGTATCAGTCGACGAAGCCGAGATCCGGAGCAAACACCAGTCGGAGTCACTGGCCAAGGTGGGCAGGGCAACTTCTATTGCCTCCTTTTTGCGCAAACGTTTGTTGATCTCTTCTTCTCCACATCGCAGCTGCGTATGGATCAGCTCAAGGTGTGTTTGTCTATTGATAGAGTCACTGCGCGCACAAGTTAACGTCTATTCCCAGGATTTCTGCAGGGGTAAAGGTCTGCCTGTCTCAGGAAAGAAGGCTGACCTTGTTGATCGCGTCGCCGAATGGTTGAACGAGCATTAGTTACTTGAATATTATTGTATTTTTATTCTTCTCTAATCTGTATCTATCTCATTGGGTAAAGTTTAGCGTCTGAAAAGCTGGTGATTTGAGACTAATAAGCTCTCCATGAGGTTGAGGGTCAATCTTAATCACATCACGGTCGTAGGGTAACTAACGATTATTGAGGACTGTCCAGTAACCAGCCCAAAGGGAAGCTTCTAGGGTTTCCATACTGATAAGTCCCTGAGTGCCTGTCCGACTCGGAGTCTCGTAAACTCGGGGTAGTGCTAAGACAGGCCTCGAGAATATGTAGATCTATTAATCTCCATCGTGCTTAGTCGACAGCCCTGTTCACGGCGGCAAGCGGGCGGCATCTATGAGTTCGTCGTCGTCAAGCTATAATCTTTTCTGATGGTTTCTAACGATCACAGCCACGAAATATTCGTCGACTTGTGTTATTTTTCCCTCGAGGCTGCGGAGCAATATAACCCGGCGCTTTCAAACCTCCGATTGATAACCTAGAGTGCAATCATCCGCATATGGTGCTGAACACCGATCGAGGTTGCACGTTTTCATTTTCTCGAGGAAAACACTTAAGTAACCCTTGGCGTGAAATTATGAATGAAGGTGGCGAATTCCACCGAAAATTTCGGGTTAGCTCCACTGTCATTGCCGCATCTTGTCTATGCCATTCTTAAAACACCACCGCCCCGGGCCTCGGATGGAAATAGTTCAATGCGCAGTCACCTGCTGTGCTAGAGAGATAGAAAAAAAGCAGACTATCATTAAACGAGATGGGCTGAATTCGGGATGTCTTTTTGCCTTTCGCCGTGGCAACGGATGTTGTGACTGGTTTCAATTATAGACTTAATAGGCCTTAGTCTAGGAGGTCAAGCCTCGTCCACGCATTTCCCAAAGAACATAATTTAGTTTTGTATGTGACATGCCATTTATTTATGTTGATCGAGGAAAGAGAGCTATTGATGTAAACCCCGCATCGAGACCCTGGCACACAATTTTAGTGTCTAGCGGTGCCTTTCAAAACCCACTGGCATTGTGCGCCTGTTCAATCTTCCGCCCTCCACATGATGATGATGGTATTTATCGAGACCCGAAATGACCCGCTTCTAAAGTTTAGCCAATTCTAAAATCCCTATATAATATCGTCTTGTATGCTGACTTCCTATAACAGACGGTCCCTGGCGCATGAGATAGAGATCCCGATGGCGCAAGTGCCGTCACTTGGAACCTCAGTTAGTACCTGAGGTCGTGATGATGCGCCAATGTACGGTACATCTCGTTTCAAGTCGGTCCCAGTTGTTACCTGTTGGCAGGTGTATGACGCAGAGATCATGATGGCTTCAGCAGAATCAGCACAACAGAACTCAGTTCCTGTCTTTATGATATGCACTCGCATGGCAACATCGAGACAATGTGTGCCAACCACGATATCATGCAACGCACGATGGTACGGAGTTATGGAAAAAGTCAGGGATTGCGGTGGGTTTAGTGGGTGTACACGTATACATCGGTTGAGGCTATGACAGTGGCACGCGGACTCTTCTCCTGTGTAATTGCTTGTGACAACTGCCTAGATGTCGCCGCAGGCTTTACCGGCACGACACAGGGAAGGAACATTTTTTGGGGGGTATAGGAGGGTATAGGCTACAGTCCGGCAAACAGAGGGGGGGACAGAATTCTTCAATGGAACCTGTCGGGCATGCCTTCTTCAGCACCGACGTGAGCCGCCACTGCCATTCGGTTGTATGCACTACGACAAAATAAGTCTGATCGAGGAGTGCGCATGTCTCCAAATCTTCCCAATTCCCAAAGATTCACGATTCACGATTTCCGTACAATCATTTAACTGACGATGTGTGTCCCGCGCGCCACAGTGGCTCTAGAACTCTATACCCGTTTGCGAGAGAAAACCCTTCTAAACAGCCTCGAAGCCCAGCCTCGGGCATCAGGGGCTTCGAAGGACAAATTGGTAGTCGGGCGAGGGTGCGAGAGGGATACCGACGATACTGAAGGACCACAGCAAGCGATTAATGAACGTGCGCAGAATATCTGAAAGACCTTACTATTTCTATCACCGCGTATGCGGCGTTTCCAGTATTTGTGAATGTTACTTTCGTCGTCCATGACCAGAAAACTCATGGTGTCATCGTCATCAGAGGTCCACGCTGGAATCTCTTTGTTGTAAGAGGCCAATATGCGAAGGAAAAAGAGTGAGACTACACCAACCACGTCTAGTTGGAAAACGATGTGAGCTATACGAGGTCTGAGGGTCCGCAGTCTTGGGCCTGTTCATTGCAGATGAAACTATCCGTCAAGAATGGTGGTCCTCAAGGGGTTCGAGACTCGACCAGGAAGACGTCAGGTGTTGTAACGTCGGCTGTTATATACTCGCCAGCTCGACGATAAATTAACTTTGGGAAGGAACACAACAGCCATAAGAGCGCGCGGTGAACCAAAAAAATTGACAAGCATCGCGCATGAGGCGAAGAAGAGATGCCCAAGTCAGCCAAAGCGGTTGAAGACGGGACATAGAGTTCCTGTGTTTTTGGTAAGACGGCGTGGCAAAAGATGACATATGGGGCGATGTCGCGGACGTGGTCTGTGCGAACGGCGTGGCAGGCTCACGTCAATGAGGCTGACAAACCTATGATCGAACGGTGATCAATAGATTCGGGACGAAAGGCATCATTTGAAGACGTGGTCGATAGATCTTTTTATCGGCCATCTGCCTGCTATTGTACGTCGTTCAGAAGAAAACCAAAGAAGATTCTTCGCGCACTGTCAAGAAGATCTATGTGAGAACTTGAGGAATGGAATGAAGTAGATTGAGAATACATGAATGAATGATCCCTGAAGGGGAAAAATGGTTCAGTCTTACAAGCAAAGTTTGATTCCGGACCCGGCGGAAGGAAGACTGCAGGGGGGGCAAGGTTGAGAAAAACGAAACTCAGGGCAGTGGAAATGAACACTAGAGATGGAACCTCGTTACACTCGCACGAAATGAATGTGATGGTGGAAGATGGTAAAGAAAATTGCAAAACTCAAAAGGACAAGGTCCCCGGGCCGTTTAAACTCCGGCCATGCATTCGGTTAGGGGCACTGCTTACGCTTCCTGTCAACTACATGGTGAGCGTGTCGACAACAACAAGACGGGAGGCTTGAAGTACTACTGCTTACAGAGTTCTGTCAAAATGGGGGTCTCTATCGCTCAGTCACCTGTACCTCAATTACGGTGATTTCGGTAACGGGGTGAGTCGTTTACCTCGTCCACTGCACGAGTAGTGGGCATGCTTTGATGAGAACTCGTAAGGCTTGGTTCCAGGTTCCAGGCGTTTTGTAGATTGCTGATCAGTGCAATCTCATAAATCCATTTGAGGCGGGCTGGCCGACGACCGAATATCGAGGGTGGTTACTTGAGGGATGAGTAACCGATATTGCATTTCAACAAGGTACAGATGCGCTCGGATAGGTAAAGTTAGGTCTTTAGTTCATTTGATTTGTTAGTAGTAGCGTCCAGTGGGATGTGTCATGAATCATGGAGGTCCGTTACCGTAAGTTTCGGAAAGTCGTTAAAGGGTCGTAAATACTACAGTGCCGGTTCATTCAGCATCCTCGTCTAAACAAAACTAACCCTCAAAACTCCCTTCTTATCCCAGGATGGCATAGCCGAGCGGACACAACTGTCCATGCTCAGACGTAGATCCGGATAGAGCCTCCCGTTCACCACGATGAGCTGGATCAGCTGGAGCTCGGCGAATTGGGGGCTAGCCAGCAGCTTGTCCAGATATTTAAGGAACGGCTCGTCTAAATGGAACTGACGAGAGGCGGCAAAGGCAATATCCAGGACCCGAAGACAGGGCGAGGTTATTTGCAAGAGCACATGATTTAGCCATGGATTGAGGGAGAGCACACGGAAAGGCGAGGACAAGCTAAGCCTTCGAAGGGAGGTGTTGGACGAGAGGTCCACGGTCGATATGATTGTATCTGATGATGTGTCGGCTGTTTAGACCAAAATGAGAATCAGTACCGTTTTAGGCCACCACTAGGGGTTTCTTACCTAGCGACACAATTTCTAGATAATTGAGAGACGACCCTAACAATCGTAAAATCACGGAGGGATCCGTATACCTCGAAACATGGACGCCGACTTTTGAAGTGAGTTCATCGCCGGTCTTCGGTGAATGGCACACCCAGTGCAGACTCTTTCTCAGGAATGTCCCTGCCCCTCTAAATGAAAGGGCGCATTTTTCATCATCCATCATGATTGTTTCGGCCAACAATCGCTGGAGCACAGGTTGCGAGTCTCCGAACTCAATGTCCTGGAACACGACATGGCGCAAAGCAGTGAAACCTGCGACAAGTTCGGAAAAGTGTGTATACTGCGGAAAAGTGACATAGGACAACTCCAAGGAGCTGATGGTGTCGAGGGACAGCATTAGGGATGGGATAGGCGATCCGGCTAGTGCTTCCCAATTGGTGTTCTCGAGGATTAGTACTGAGGCATTTCCTATGTCTTTGAGGCCTTGCAAGGCGCCAGCGAGCGCTTCGAGCTGCGATGAATTCCATGATACGCCATCATGATGTTGATGCGAACCCACAATACGTATGCGACGAGCGCGGGGGTATATGGTGAAGAATGAGAAAGGGTTGTCGCGAAACGAGCTGAATGTCTCCACGGAGGTATGCTGGAGCCGAATGGACGAGAAAGCGTGGAAATACGTGCGCGAACGCCACCGTTTGCACACAAAGCTGCATTTTTTCAGGTTCTGCAGGTCCGCGCTGAGCTCGTCGATGATTTCTTCCTGCAGTTCCAGTGGAAGCACGGCGGTAAGACGCTTCGGGTAGGCGTCGACGAGGGGGGAAACTGCCTGGATGCCGTTGCTAGTCTAAATAAAGTTTAAATCAGCTTTAAATGGGTCTAGACCTGACCCCGCCCGAACTTACCATGTTTGTCGGATGTCTTGACCAATAGTCGTCCTACAATGGCTGGTGGTGGGGAAGGATGTGGAAAGACGATAAAGTACGACGTGAACAGAACCAGGAAAAGTGTGGGGATAACGACTTGGCGGAGTTCTACGTAGGCATTTATGTGAAACCGAATAGCCGTTCCCGTTATACGGGTCTCCTAAGGAGACGCTAGGCTCGGTAATATGCACCCAGCAACACCGCGGTCTGTCACATCTGAAGCAATGATGTATTTGCACTTGGTTCCAACAGAAGAAATAGACGTGGAACAGTCGTACCAGAGGCCATAAAGAAATAATATATTGACCGGGCCACGAAACGGTGGATTGTATTCTCCGGAAACCGACATGATGATCATGAAGCAAGCTGTGTGAATGATCGGCAATCATCGGATGCCGTCTCGGGCCGCGGTACTTTCCTGCCGGCTAGATCCGCAGCTGTACATCAGCTTACCATCTTATCCGATAAAATGATGAATCAGCATGGCCAATTACCACCAAGTCACCTCACCTCCCCATTTCCAGCAGCTGCTCTCCGCCGACCTTGCTAGGGTATCGCTCATTAACTTTTGGGCAGACTTTGCGCAGCCATGCAAGCAAATGAATGAGGTCGTCTTCGAGCTCTCGAAAAAGTACCCTGCTGTTCTTTTTCTCCAGGTGCATTGCCATTGTCAATATTCTTATCTTTGTTTCGTGTCCTTACCTTTATGTATCCAGGTCGAGGCTGAATCTCAGTCAGAAATTGCCGAATCCTTTGACGTCGACGCTGTTCCGTCTTTTATCATCTTGAGGGTGCGTGGACCACCGTTTTTCGACATCAAAATGCCTGTTGATACGATATCAGGGCCATACCCTGCTGGATCGTATATCTGGAGCCAATGCGCAAGCATTAACTGCTGCCGTCGCCAGACACGCGGCTTCGCCATCTATCAATCCCCTGTCGAAGACTGATCTGGCTCCAGCCAAGGCCGCCGACGTCGTCAGTGAGAAAAAGGAAACACCGGAGGAGCTAGAGAAGCGAATGCGAGGCCTGATGAATAAGTCAAAGGTAGTATTATTCATGAAGGGCAGCCCAGATGCCCCCCGCTGCGGATTTTCGAGACGGATCACGGGGCTCTTGAAGGACCAGAACGTGGAGTTTACGCACTTTGACATCCTTTCAGACGAGGACGTTCGGCAAGGTATGTGGGGCAGATGTTATTTTTGAATACTGTGAAACTCAGCTATCGGTTATTTAGGTCTGAAGAAGCTAAATGATTGGCCAACGTTTCCCCAGTTGATCATCAATGGAGAATTCGTCGGTGGGTTGGATATCGTGCAGGAAATGATCGATAACGGAGAGTTTGCCGACGCTATCAATGCTTAGATTAGTTGGATGACCTCTTAGTTTGTAGTTTAGGATGTACATCAGACGCGCTACGAGTATACATATGGTATGGTATGTCTTATAAATGATTTAACGGTGCAGTATCTCACAGGAGTCCGTTAGGCGAATCAGATTATCTTATAAATCCCTTGACCTTTTTCAAGTCAAATCCCTTTTCTTTCCACAAGTTCTCAATACGAAGGAGACTGTCCACTGCGTCCAAGACTGTCTTCTCCCAAGGGAAGAACGAATCGCGGTTCATCCCAATCACTTCACTAATCCTTTTCCAGTCCAGCGGCAGGGTGTTGCAAGACCACTCCGGCGCCCTACGAACATCGGCAAGGCGGTCCTTAAGCTCCGGACGTTCTCGCGCTATGATCTCGATTGCCGCCTTGTACGAACACTCGTGGGGACACACAATAGCCACCCTCTTCCGACCAACGTAGGGTGAGAGAGGCGACTCGAGGGCGAGAACGTGCGCTCTAGCGGTATCACGAACATCTATTGCCCCCGGAACGATAGGAAAGGCGGTCGTGTCTGGCCGAAGAAAAGAATAGATAGTGGCATTCGTGGAGAGAGAATCAAGGTCTGGTTCAGGAAGGAGGTGCTCAAAGCCTCGAGCGAAGGGACCGTAGTTGAAGGGCGGTCCCACTGACGGTTGTGAGTAGTGCAAAAGGTAAATTTCAGCGTAAAAACGTCCGTACCGAGGGTAACATCGATTTCAGGGTGGATATAGGAAAATTCGACGACAGCCAAGTCGGAATATTTCTTCTGGGCTGCATAGATCAGGGAGGGAAGTCCGAAGGCTATCGCCTCTTCTTTGGTGATGGGGTTCCAGCCTGGAGCGACAGAGGGTGAGGGCTAGTAACGACTATCAGAAGGAACTCACTGTCTGCGCCGTATGGGCCTTTGGGATAATCATAGCTCAAGACAGCGCTGGTAACAACGGCTCTCGGAACTTTGGCTCTCACGGCCTCTCGCAGAATGTGGAGAGAACCTTCGATAGCAGTCTGTAAGTTGATGATCAACCGCCGTAACCGTAATAGAGCACGAGAACAATACACTCACTCGTAAGGCTATCTCAGCGCTAACTCTTCCCGGAAGAGGAGCCGCCGCATGGATGATTCCGTCTATTCCTGTACTGAGGTGAGATACGCTTTTATCCATATTGGGGGGTCGACGGTCATGTTGTCTGACCTTTGAGGATTAGACTGAAATCCCCGAAGCAGACATCACGGACCTCTACGACTTCGAAGTTGTCGCTGCTGTAGTTGGCTGACAGAGCTTTCTTCAGTAAGCTAATCTTCCTGCCTCTGGCGGCCCTGAAGGGAGTGTTAGACGGGGAACGGGGATGTCAGTGCCGCGTAAGCGTACGCTCGAACATGGTACCCTTTATCAAGCAGCTGGGTCAAAATATGAAATCCTATAAATCCGGTGCCCCCTGTGACCTATCCTAATGTTCAGCCGACGTTTCTGGACAGAATAAGAGGCGCCCGAACGAATATCAGCTTCCGAGTCGACGTGCTGGAAGAGGTGGAAGACATTATTTCCCAGGCTATCGCAAAGTGTCGGGGAATGAGAGAGAAAAATTACGTTCCTCAATGCTTTTTTATATATCGTCCAACAACGTTTATTTTGTCAGTTTTTAAAGACTCAATGTCAGATGAGCGGCCACGGTGCCGACTTAAATTTGGGGTCCCCGAGCTCCAAATCTGGACCCAACATTGAATTGCTACGTTCTGCACAGGCCGAAGCATCCTGTGAGTTGCAGCAGAGGATTGCCAAGCAGCCTCGGACTTATATTACCCGTGCCCGAACCACTCCCCACCCCCGGGAAACTCCCGCCAAGGTGTGTTTGGGAAAAATGACCGAATGTGGCCCTCAAATATCATTATGGTATTGGGAGAAAAGTTACAGACAGTTTCCCAATAATCACTGCCTGAAGAGACGTGCTTTATTATCTCATAGCACAGTGTCCCCCACCCCCGGCCTGCAAGATGGCCTGAAAGGAAGCTGCCTTCGAAACTGAAACGTTATCGGTCTTCATGCCTACATCTTTCCTGGTCTTCCTACTGTGATTGAGATCCGATGGTGAGCAATCGCTCTTTTGACACAAATCGACGCTGAAGGATCACCATAGATATTCTTCCTTCCCACCTCCATAGAATAAATTCCATTTCAGAAACCAAAATGAACCGTGACACAGATGAAGATTGTAAGAACGACAAAGGGAAAGGTTAAATTCGCCGCTCCCTGTTCCTCGACTGATCAACCGGTAGAGCAAGGCATGATAGTCGTCAACCGACGACCGCTATAGCTAGTGCTAATTTCTGGGACACACCTTGGCTTCTCTGCGCCTGAACCCACGTCCACGTGATCAGCGCGTCTGACGTAAATTGCAACTTTTTCGTTTTTTTTTTTTTTTTCCTTCTCTTTCCTGCCACAACATACAAACGACCTGAATATATGCCCGTCGTGCAACATGGACTATTTGGATCCCAACACTCGTGCAAGAATCATGGATATCATTCAGTCTCGTGACACAGGGGAAGGAAGGTTCGTGTTCGCCCTTTTCTGCCTTGAGACATTACTGAAATCCAAGTTAGGAGTATTGAAGAGTTGACGAAAACTCAAGAGATGCTGAAAGGCCAAGAATCTGAGCGTCTGAGAACGTTCTGTACCACCCAGTCGATGGTTCCCGGCCGCGACCTTGATGCCTACGGCATGCTACTCGCCACCGCCGACCTCATCAAAATACGGGAAGACTTCGACATGCGAGTGAAGCGACACTTCACAAAGTCATCTCCGCGTCATCGGCGAATCTCGAGACACCTGGAGAAGCCGCCCGTGCAGCCGCAGCTGATGAACTCTATCAAATGCGCTGGGGCCCAACTCGGGTTCCGATTTACAACCTTTTAGGCTTGTGCACGCTTCTTTACCCTCCAGAGCGGACTTCATATCTTAGCATCGCGAAGTATCTCATTAGTACGGCCCGAGTTCCGGTAGACGGAACAGACCTTTCTGGCACCCGTGCTCTATCACATTGCTTCTCCACGAAGCCCGGCTTTGACCTCGAATACGCACAGATTCTCTATGATGCAGGCGGAGATGTCAACTCCCGTAACCGCTACGGGTCGACTGTTGCACAGGAGATTGTCCAAGTCTACGAGCCAGGCGACCGCGATGCTGTCAACCGGGCACATGCTGCATTGGAATGGTTTTTCCTGCACGGCGGTAATATCGATCTCGCCGACGGGGACGGGTTTACTGTTCGGGTGACCATCGATAGGACACTACGGAAGATACCGATGTTGAAGGGAATCACGAAGCTTATGAACGCGGAGGATGCCAGACGGCAGGCGCTTGGGGATACGTGCTGTGCGTTATGTGCACGGACCGGGGAGAGTACGACATTGGCACGCTGTGGGAAATGCAAGAAGGTTCGGTACTGTGTGCCAGGATTGCGTGCTTGCCAGACTTTGGACTGGCCGAAGCACAAGAAGACCTGCAAGAAATTTTAGACTATCCGGTACGTTGCCGCCACCCCCCTCCGGTTACCTTCCGCTAGCTAAACAGGAGTTCTACATCGTCTAGACGCTACAGTGTAGATCATCCGAATAATTCTCGTTTGGCGGCAATGTTAGTGTAATTCGCGTGTGTGTGGAATATGGGTCACCGGTCGTTTGGTGAATAACTGATTGGTGATCAGGTACTTATCTTGCAGAGAATTGATCTATTATTGTCTCGGCATGACCCGGGGACATCTACACACTATCTGCACACAATTCATGAAGGCCCGGGGAAATCTTGTGACATATACAGTTATGGACATGCATCATTCGACTCCTCGACCGTCACGGAACTTCCAACTTGGGTGGTTCTTCCTCACCAAAAGCCGGGGTTTAGGACCAAGACTCTTCGCTCTCGGACGACCGATGCTCGTTTATGACCACGTTCGAGGAGGCAGACATAACGTCCAGCGCCACGACTGCTAGTTATGGTGCAGCTATCCTCAGATGAGTTTTACTCACTTGCGAGTTTGAAACCAGAGCACGCTTTTAAGGTTTGAGTACTCACCGTGGCCCGGCACGCCACATCATCTGATGTCCTCTGCAGCTCTATCTTCATTGAAAGTAACGTAAATCACTTATTTCGAGTACTGTACAAACCTCGGACTGACTGCAGGTCGCAGAACTGAAACGTTGGGCTCTTTGCCCACGTTTCGGCTGTTTTGTCGAAGAATGTCTTCCACCTATGACATTTGATCCCCTCTACGGCATCTTTATTGCTTTCGGACTGATGATTGTTCCCAACGTGGATAAATATCAAGCCCTGTGATTTATCTGTACCACACGGTATCGATGCTTTATTCTTCACTAATGTATAAGGATTCCGTCGCCTCGGGGCTTCCAGTCATCCTACCCTAACATGCCGGGAAGTACACGTAGAGTACTCCTTATCCTAGACGCCCAAACGGCCGCCCTCTCTCCGCCACCCACCGGGATTCCCTCCTCAGAAACGGTCCGCAAAAATATAGCCCAGATTTTAGGAGCTGCACGGTCTGCGAACCCGCCACCGTTGATAATCCATATTCGAACTGCGGGTGACGTGGGAGAGCCCGACGAGCCAAAGTCGCCGGGATGGGAGCTCGTCAATCCCCCGTTGCTAGGCGAGCCAGTGATCGATAAGAAGAAGAACAATGCTTTCGCAGGGACGAATCTCGGGGAACTCATAGTACCTGATGCAGAGATCGTTGTGGTTGGACTACAGTCGGATTTCTCTCTGAGAGCTAGTGAGGCGACTCCCATTTCTGCTCATCTCTGCAGTCGCTGACTTGTGTAGCTTGTAGCGCTGCATTAGATCGGGGTAACGTGGTGTTGATGATCCGGGGTGCCCATGGGACATATGATCGCTTAGAGGTGCTTTTTGGAGGAGGGACCACAGCTGCGGAGGCGGTTGAGGCAGAGACGGAAGCGGAGCTGGAAGAGGCCGGAGTTTGCGTTCTAGAGATGAAAGATCTTCCGGGTATCTTCAGCAATCGGTAGTATTGCATTTATATTTTGGGTATGTGGCCGTGCAAATCCAGTTACCGGGGATACTTAATAGGTTCAGAAAGATGAATCTAATAATGTACAGCCCAAGAAACTGTACAGAGAGTTTTCTAACCTTCCTCGGGCAAGTGTTCGGCTCCTCGTGCAATCGATGTGCAATCCCGATGGCATCTCAATGTCGGCGCCGAATCTCATGCAGGTGTTCGTCAAGTTGCCTGACTTTTCTTGGAGATTACCCAGCTCCGGATGATATATGAATGTTACCAGTATCGCTACGAAGATTAGGATCAATTTCGTCGCCAGGCAATCGAACGGGACGCGGTGGACGAATTTGGTCCATCACATAGCTTCATCACGATCACTTTTGACTTGGCTCTTTGAAGGGACGAGTGCTGCTGCCCTGGTATGCCACGCCTCGCACCTCTCGGGCAGTAACAACATTCTTTGTTTGGCCATGAGCTTCGATTGCCTGAACAATTGAGCCGAAGGCCCTCAGTACAGATTTCGGCACCTAAGTTCGGATTGAGCTTCACAGGGACCTACACCACCATCTTTGCAGCAAACGCACGTTTATACAGTTTCATCCTTGATGAAGCCATCATTACTTGGAAGCCGTCACTTTCCTATTGCTCTTTCATCGCACGTTGCCCGAGAAGCATCTAGCCGACTTGCGTAACGGGTTTCAGGATTTGCCTTCAAGAGTATGTTCTGTCCAACCAAACTCCAAAGACTTTCCCAACACCTCGGGAAATGAAAGTATATATAACCTACAAGTAATGGTTCGGTGTACCTTGGAAAACCATATGGCAATCCCCGCCTTGTTCCTGAGGTTGCATTCTCCGACGCCTCTTATCGATGTATCGTTGCCTGTGTAATTTTTTTGATTTCATTTGCATTCTGGATACCATGATGATGACACACGGAATGGCGGGTCAGTTGCTTCACCTACGCTGATTTCGGTGGTATCGACGCACTCCGCGGCGATACACGTTCCACATGGTGGTGATTTACAGTGCGCTGGTTCTTTGACTCGCGGATATCATGACGTGCTCATAGCGTGCTCATAGCGTATACTGAAACATCAGCGGTCTGTAGAATGAAGACAACCGACTTGTAGTATGCAAAAACGTATATCTGCGATGGTATAAAAGACCGGATGTGAGGTGGGTAGTTCTTCACTACGTTACTTCTCTCTTAACCGAACGTACTCCGTCCTCACTCACAACATGCAATTCAGCATTCTCACACACCTCCGCGTCCTTTTTGCGTCCCTCCAAGGTGTTCGGTATGTGTCTTTCGAATATCCTATCTGCACACCAAGCTCACGGCACCCTTCACAGAGGGTCGGGACCGGATTCGTCTATGCTTCCCTCTGATTCGGCTTCCGCTAGTCTGTCAAACAGTGGTCAAGGGTACGTGAGCTCCACAGCTTCCGAAAATTGAGATATGACATACGGCGCATCACAGATACATCCCTCGCGGAAGAAATAATATCGATACCCAAGGTTCTGCGACGAACAGTGGAAGCGGGAAGCCGAAGCCTAGTGGAACCACTGGCAATAGCGGAGGACAAGCTTCCAATAGCGGAGGCTCTGCCACAAATGGAGGCGGACAGACCAGGTAAAGGTCGGCATGGGAGATCCTAGCCCCTTACCCATTTGAGTTCATTTTTTTAAATCTTATATCCGTCCACTGGAAATAATTTACATTCCCTTGCCACTTGCTATCCCCTACTTAATATTCTTTTACTTACGTGATGTATTGTTCACTTGTCTTTTCTTCACAGCGAGGAAGAGTTTCGTGCGCTTCTTTCGATTTGTGCTATTAGACCTACTTACATTCGTATAATTCTAAAATTTTTATTGACCATGATGGCATTCACATTTTCGCCCCGCAAGCTAGGACTTCTCAGAAATTCCAATGCAGGAAAGCAAATTGGTGTCACTTTGGAGAATACTTTCATCGAGTAAAGAGATCGGACTCCATACATATGTGGTGTAGCGTTCATAACGGGAATGGGATTGGTATGGCTGAGGTATTAAGTGTATAGTTTTACAGAAAACTAGGACATTCTAAGCTGTTGAAGGGCCTGGACCATTCAAACGCAACGTATATCAACTTTGAAGTTTGTTAGATGGAAGAAAAGAAAACTAATTGTAATTCGTGGTTCTTTGTCTGCCATCTCTCTGGCTGGGAGTCGAACCCAGCTTTCGCGCGCAGAGCCTATACTCCATACATATGACAGGCGCGTGTACTAACCGATATACTACCAGAGAAGATAACTGTTGTTCCTGCTTATCAAATAACATCACTCATTTTGCATTTTCTTGAGGACGATGGCCATGATAATCGTCTTCCATGACCTGAGGCGTCTGGAACTTTCTTGAAGCTTCAGTGGAGGCAACATTGGACGGTCAAACTTCAAATACCAATAAAAAGGCTGGGAAAGCAACAGAGGAATGTTTAGTTTCAGATTAGAGACGATACGGATACCGTCAGCCCCGTTCGTCATGTTCGGCGAGATTTTTCTCAGATCTTACGGTAGATACGATGGCGAAACTGAAGGAACACGGGTCTGTATACGGTATAGCCCTCGTCGTCACTGGCAGCGAACGTCGAAGATTGGTGATTTAATATAAGCCATGCTGTGTATTGTTGTACATGCATGTAGATGATGTTGATACGCGCTTCCGGCCATTACCGGGCCTCTAGACGCCTGAAAATCCGCCGTCTACCTCATTCTCAAACCACTGCGTGTCTGTCGATTTCTGATGTTGCCCTCCTTTAGTGCATTTTCATAACCAGCAGCATTATGACTCATCAGGAGGCATTAGGATATGACCATCAAAGAAATACTGAGATAAGGTTGATCCCCCCTTGATTTTTCTTTTCAATGACGCAATAGACACTTGTTTCAGGAGTGAATTTCATCTATGTCTTCGTAATTCGGTTTCACGACCTGTGGTCCTATAGCGATAAAATTTGGTTAAAGCCATCAGTATGCCTCGATCTTCGGGCGTCAAAGAAATTCGGACAGACTAGTGCTCACCATCAGGTCATGATCTTCCAATTCAAGCACGAGGTGAGTTGGTTGCGGACTTCGCTATCCTCCTCCGACCGGGATATTGCTCCCATACAGTGGTGAGAAAGGATGATAGCCTGCCGGCGGAAGCTCAAATGTCGTCACATAGACTCACAAAAATTCTGACCGCATTTTTGAAAGATGCACGTTTCATTAACCGCGGCAGGTTTTTACTATACTAAGACGCGGCGGTGTTCCCGACTCTCAGGACTTCTTCCCTCTTGATTCCCGTTACCTCCTTCTAGAGTACTTAGCAGTTGCCTCGGGTGTACTAGCGTGGAGCCAATGACCAGTACGTTCTTTGATTTCTGTCTACCCTGATGAGCGCTGGGTCTCATCTGACTTGTAAAACACCAAAGATGGAGCACATATGGATATCTGCCAGGGCAGTATAAAAGAACAGGCACCAGGTGAGTGTTTCTTCACTTCCCTTCACTGTGTTATTCCTTTTTCATAACAAAGCAGGCATCGACCTCCCTCACACATGAAATTCAGTGGCGTTTTCAAACACCTCCGAGTCCTTTTTGCATGCGTTCAATGTGCTTGGTATGTATTCTAATATCTTGTCCACGCACCAGTCCTTGCGGCCGCATTCACAGGGAACCCATACAGGTTCGCACCTTATTCACGTATGCTTCTCTATGACTAAATTTCCACTAGTCTGTTAAACTCTGAGTCCATGGAAGAGTACGTGAGGTTCTACACGTGCCAAAAAGCGAGATGTATTATACGGCACATCACAGATAGATCTCTCGTGGAAGACTGACCATGAATAGTATGGGCTCGGCGACATCTGGAGGGGAGAGGCCTCAGCAGAACGGTGGGCCCAAGCATGGAGGACAAACTCCCAATAGCGTAGGCTCTGGGACAAATGGGGGAGGCGGAAGCGAATAAGGGTCAATGATGGTAGACCCTACTGACTGGAAATAATTCACATTCCCTTGATATCTGCTATCCTATTGTAACGATAATTTCAAGAGAATTTCGGTGCGACAAGAATTTACTGTGCAAAACTCTGAGTCGCACGATTTAAGACAGCATTCTGGTTGGTCTCTGACTCTGGAAAAGCAGCAGCTGTATCGACACCGCGAGATAGTACATATTTCGTCGTGTATTCGAGATTATGTGAGAGGCAAGGCCTATTGCAAAATGCACCAACTCTTGGATGGAACTTGGAAGACTCTTGGGCTTCGATGAACTTCATAGCATCGGTTAGTAAGTTTTTCACTTCTTCGACTTGAATTTACTTGTAATTTGTTCATTGTCCCTTCGACAACTCTTCGCTCTCAAGTTTAGCGAAAAGCTTTCATTTTTCAACTTTCAAGGTTTCGAGTACAGTGTAAATCCATAAACATCATTACCCTCTAGTTCTTTGCGTGGGAATCGAACCTAACCTTGGCGCGAAACACCGTTACACCAAACGCGCGGCGCGCAACCTAGAGAAGTATCGAGTTTCAAATATTATTGTTGATCCAATTGCAACCGTGGTATTCCACTCCTTGTCCGCATCGTCCGTACTCTATCTACAACCGCGATCATCTCCAATCTTTAATCAAACGTAACATCTTCTCTTTGACAATGGGGATGTCGTCCACTGGCGAAACTCTGAACCGTCTGGCACTCTTGGAACTTCAGCGACGGCGTCAGATGATTCAACACCAATAACAGAGCTAAAGAAGTAGCGAAGGAGTGTTCAGTTTCAAATTAGAGACGATATGGATGCCATATCATCCCTATGTCGTGTTCTGCACATTTCTTCTCACCTTACAGTAGACGCAACGGCGAAACTGAAGGAACACGAGTCTGTGTACGGTCAAGGTGAGTACATAATTTACACTTGTAAAAATATCTGATGAACGCGGTAGAATTACAAAGTCGATGGGCGGTGGCTTGCTAGAGAATGGGTACGGACCGTAAGGTTACTGACTGGGGACGGACATCGAACCACAGCGGGCATACACTTCCTACTTCCTTGAGCCGAAACTCAGCGCTCGGCCAAGTATCTAGTAAAAATCCAACAGGGAACCTTGCGTGTACGAGAATTGGCAGGTGCAGCGCGATTGGTCACGACGACGAAGTGGTGGAAGGAGTGTCAATTCTCGTGACTACAAGGAGATTAGAGCTCATCCGTACAGCCAGACTACACCGAATTCGTACCATTATAAACCAAAGGCTATTTCCCTTCATCACGCAATTCCTTCTCGCGGCGCGCCTCATTCTCATCCAACCGCGCTTCCGACAGAAGATCACAGTTTTCTCCAGTCCATCCCAAAAGTCTTGTTCTCCTTTGGCGCATTCTCAGCGCTAGCAGTGTGATGATAAGCAGCAAGGACACGGCTGCTAGAATGATAATCACTGTCAGGGTAATAGGCGGGGCAAGCATCGCTTGGGTGATTATGGACTGGCCAAGGATCAACTTATCTTGACAGGACATGTGCATCCTGAGCGCCTATCAGACGACGTAAGATAGCTCCATGTTCTGTAATAGACGGTTTGCCGCCGAGTAACGACCGTGGAACCGTCGAGCTTTCAATTGGCAGTCAGGCACGAATGTCTGGGCGGCTCGACACCACCAACAACTCTTCTCTTTCTTGTCCGATACCCTGTATTCTGCCTCACTTGTTGGCCCTCCTGCTCTATCATATCTTTCTTCCCCTCAAAAAATGATGCACGGATGATTACATGAGAGAAACGAAGACTATATCTGGGCCATCGCTTGTGTCAACTGATCTTCCGGCTGATTTTTAGAAAAGCGTTCCCAGTGCCGAGGTGAGTTTTCTTCACACCTGGTAAACAACTGTTTTGGGTCGGACAAAAACAAGGGAAAATGGATGGACAACTGATCAAATTCTGATCAAGGCTTTTGATCGTAGCAAATTTAGTAAAGCCAACACATCTTGCTACGGTCAAAAGCCTGGGTCGAAATGTTATCTGCATTCCAACTATTTCCCTTACATTTTGACCGGCATAAATTAGTTATCTCTACACCATCTTTTTCAGGGACCTGATGAGCTTCGGTAGGCGCTCCGGCTCCTCATATTACGTTCATCAGAATCTAGGGCAAATCATGTGTTGTTAGGTTCAATCTACGGGTGAATGCTGGTATGTCGCTCACATCGCTTATTTGAGGACCTCACAGTAAGCTCTATCATTGTGTCCTGAAATTTTCTAACCATAAGGTTCAAGGACATTACCTCACCGTTAAGCAGGGAGGACCAAAGACTCACGGAACCGGAACCTATGCCCACCAAATAACACCGTCCACAGGAACATTTTCGCGCCTGTCTATCTCAACCAACAATGTCACTTCATATCATTCTCATTGGGTCATCCCAGCGGTCTCACGTCTTTTTTGAGACAAGCTGCCGTTAGCATATCTATGAAGTGCAGCTGTGGTGTGAAATTACCTGGGCACAGGTCGAGACTCGAGATAGCGCCCTCTTCAACAGGTACCGCTCGAGAAAAAGATCCCTGCAAAAAGACCCCTCTTGGAACCGTGTTTGTTGCTCAACTTTTTTTGCCTTATCTCTCGAGACATCATCACCCGCAGACCGAACTCATGGCACCAGGAAATGACGTTGCTAGCTATCTCTTCCTTTTACGACCACATGTTTTGCATATATCATTGTTGGCGTCTATCGGAGGGATCTTCACGGAATCGGAAGATTAGGAAGGACCAACCCTTCGATGGTGCGAACTGTCATGCGAGTTTCCTTCATAACTCCTGTGGGCCTTCTAGCGTAGCTCCCGTTCGTGGAACAAGTCACCTTCACTGAAGGACCAGCGACCTGCTACCATTCTCCAGACAGTGGTCGTCGCTTTCCCGTTGGCAACGTTATCAGTTGGTATTTCTTTGACACCAGGAAGCACGTGAAGAGTGGACCGTCAACATAGCCAATATCCCTCAAGGTACGCCTCAGCAAAGTTGTCGACTTTGGGTGCTTCCGCCCCTTTCGGCGCAGGAACCTATTGGGTGGGAAGTTCGATATAATCAGTGGGTTGAGTGCGGATGGTTTGTTCCGAATCGGTGATGTTATCGTATACCGACGTACACCCACCGCCTTTTCCTCGAACACATGAGCCTTTCTTCACCTTTGGTGAGCATACTGCGAGGTTCTTCCTGATGGGTCGTGGGTTGCAAATGGGAAGGATTATGTTTTGGGTTGTTGGGCGGTTGGAGATTCCATGTGCCAGCAGAGGATGGAACGAGGCCAGCGCCAGTCCTCGATAAATGCCGGATGCTGAAGCGGGTCCTACGTGCCGGTGGCCCCGAGAAACTTATGGTTGCAAAAGAACAAACGTCTATCTTGGCTTAGCCTGGTGGATATCCTCAGGCAATGGGACCATTACCTCATCGATTTGCGTTTCGTCGCATCGTCATCCCGCGACTGCGATCAGAAGACTCATCCTCAGTCAGTCCTAGATGAGCCGACTGCACAGTGACATCGTCTCCTGACAGACGCCTTCTCCCGCAACGAAGCCCCCGATGTTTCGAGTTGAGGAATCCGTCAGGATCGTAATCTCCGCTTTCTGTAGACGAGGCGATGGACCACACGATGATAGACTCCGCATGGATTACCATCGACGGATACGGACCGTTCCGCCGCGTCCCTTTCGTTCCGCGATCATCTCCTGCTTTTACCCTCGAAACTTGCAAACACTGCTGTTTGCCCTCCAACCTTTCCCCGCTCTCGACCACCGGTATCACCAATCTCTCCCTGCAGCCACCCGCGCTGTTGGAATTCTTCACCCTACGTTTCCCTTCAAGCGTCATGAACTGCCTCTTGTGAACACGAACGTTCCTCTGGAAAAAAGGTCCGCGAGAAAGAGTTGAGTATACTAACAATATCCCAAAGTTTTAGTGTTCTTAGCGCGCTCCCATCTGTAGATCGAGGACACTTCATATACGAGGGTGACCAGGGGTGCGGAAGGACATCCAGGCAATGATAAGCGGTAGCCATGAATGATTAGCGGGCATCTTGCACAGTACTATGTGCTGGACACAAACTGGATCTCGACTGCCTTGGCGACCATCAGCGGTTTGTCGTCGTCGTCCAAATGTGTCTTCGTGTGCTAGAGAGATTACTTCGTCGAGTAGATGGAATCCCGGATGTTACACCCAGCAGCAACCACAACCCCGCGAAATCGACCGACCATATCCAAACCGCAGTTCTCGGGATGACGCCGGACTTTCTTCATACAGTACTCCTTACTATGCCAGGAAGAGCTGCTTTGGCTGTGCGAACGTTCATCAGATTGAATGTGCTGATCAGGATTGTCATATGAAGGAGGAAGCCGTATGATTGGGCCTAGAATTAGATACGTGCTAGTATGCTCCCCTGGCACCTCGCTTTTTCTCGCAGTGAGCAATCTCATCGTGTCATCCCGACGTGTTCTAACCCGCATAGGAGTGCCACGCCCTCCCAATAGGGATTATCAAGGAGCCACGAAACTGGCTACATACCAACACACCCAGTCCACAAGAATATCTCTCGATCTTCTATCTCAACAACATATCCATTAACTCTCATTCTCATCGACCGGTGACGGATACTCGAGGCCATCTTCGTGGTCTTGTGCTGCTTTATGAGACACTTTGCTCCTACTATCCCCGTCGCCAAAATTAAAGAGCTACAGTCTGCAGCTAGGGTGACGCATGGTCCAATAGCGCCTGCAGTTGCCCACGACGAGATCAAGGAGAGCCCTCTTGAACAGGCCGCTCTAGAGCTTTACTACCTCCCAGATTTTACCGAGAAGGATTTTGGGCTGAGAGGTGGCAGGTTCTCGCTCGTCCTATCTCTCGACCTTTCTGCAATACTCGCAAGTGAAGGGGCGGCACCGGGTGTTTGCCACCTCTCCCCTCTTTCCTGTCGTCATGTTTTGGAAAAGAAGGATGTTCGATCCCTTCGATGCCGCGGTTTTTCCGCGCCCTCCCTTTCGTGGAACAAGGCACTTCCATCCGCCGACTACCATCTATCCACTGTAGCCGCCTCCGCATATTTCTTGACATCTTCATTTACGTCGGGAAGCCCATGAAGAAAATTTTGGATATCTACGTGCCCTATATGTACTGGGTGACTCAAACAAGCAAAGTTTTGTTCATCGAGGCGGTACCGAAGTTGTGCAAATATTGCCGTGGTGCCAGGTCTACTTGTACATGGGAGAAGATGACAGCGCCCCTGATGTCGCCCTTTCTCCTGTCCTATATTCCCGAATGCTCATGAGGGACATGTCTTCTCATCGGAAAACATATGATGCTTTAATGGCATGCTGTGAGGTACATCGAATAAGCTCCTAGCATCTCCAAGGAGTCAATGATGGCTTGTCAACACTCCAAGCAGTTTCGATTTGCCATAGAGACTCCAGTCTCTCTCGGCAAACCTGTTAGCCTGATGCAATCTTGCCCTTTCGGATGTGAAGTTCGATACATCTCGACCGACTACCGCGCGCATGGCGGCTGGTGCAAGGTTACTTGATTTCGTGACGCAGGTGGTGAAGTAGGTCTCCCTCATGACTCTTATTGGGACTGCATATCATTCTACCTCTATCGACGGCTGAATTGTGGTGGCAGGGGAAGATGTCGTTCCCATCCCGAGTCCGGATACTACTTGCTGCTGCGACGTCCAGAGTAGTAAATTTCTATGGAATTGTGGCTGACCAGCCACTACTGCTTGCGACAACGGAGGTCGGTTTTCTTTCTTCATCCCGACGTCTACGTTGTGCAAATATACGCTGGTTCGAGAAGACAGGGCGAACCTCCAGAGTCGGCGTGCGTGTAACATGGTAGCTATTCTCTTCTCGATGACAGTCCGTCGACTTTGTGAGTATGCGCCGGTTCGTTTTCGAATCTTCCTCTCTGCGCGCACGGAATAATGCCGTCCGTCAAATATGTAACGATGGTCTACATCTATTCCGGGGGCTTTTTCACGTATATATTACACTTTTCCTTTGGAAATGAAAGGAAGTTTCTGGTTGACTTCCGAATACAATCCAACTCTGTATTTGTCAGATGAAGAATCCCCCGTCCGCCTCTTTTCTTCTGCGGAGTCAATTATGGAAGCATTCCCTTCTCCCGCGATGCACAAAGCGCAATGATTGAGATAAAAAAACCTGTCATACTATAGCGTTTATGCCCCTGGTTGGGGGTTGAACCCAACTTTCGGGTATGTGTAATAACCAATACACTACTTCAACGGTGGTATTTTAGTTCATAGTTGGTATTGTTATCGCCAACAAGGGACCCATTTTGAATCTCCCTCTCTCGCCGCAGGTGTCCAGTTTCGAATTCGGATTGCCAGATCATCGGGATTTTCAGTCATGAGGAGCGCATATTAACTGGACGAAGACTACAAAGTCATTGACACCGGTATGGACTGAACTGGGGTCGACCGAAGCTCCGGTGGGTGCGCGACTCTATATGATCAGCCTTGCCAGACCACAACAATAAACTCGTGCCAAAATGCGGTTTCCAAATGCACAGATTTGCACAAAAAAAAAAAACCTTTCAGCTTCACAATTGAAACAGCCTCTTTCCTTGGTGCTACAGAACCACGAACCGTCAGGGTAATATGAGAAGACTCACAAATATGCACAATGCAATTGAAATGGAGTGAATTGTATGGATAAGAAAAAGTGCATGACTAAGGCTGTATCTCTTTAGCTGGGAGTCGAACCCATGGCTCAGTAAATTACCGATATACCACCAAAGAGTGAGGAGTGGTCGATAATATCTTACGCTAAACTATAGTATATATCATAATTTCGACGAGATGATTGTCTCTTGGTGCGGAATCGGGATCTTCACCCTGCACTATGGGTCCAAGAACAGATTTAGTGAGAAACTCACATATCCAGGAAACCGAGGGGGTAAGCATTGAGCAGCGCTGCGGAGAAGCCATGAGAAGGGGCGAGAAAACAGCTTATAGCAAGCAACTCACCGACCGCGCACGCCAGATTCTGGATCTTGGTACTTCGAGCAGGGACATGTCTTCCCGCCTTTAGCTTGAGGAGGGAAGAAGAAGCGTGTCAGATGGAGGCTACTACCATCTCATCTCATCATTACATGGCACCATCGTATTGTCAATGGTGCACCATGACGAATTCTCCGGCCTAGGAAGAGGTATGCAGTTACATGAAAGACGACACGATATCTCCATGAGCAATTCTTCAGCTGGGTATAAGGATCACCATCCTCGTTTAGATGTCAGGTTTCGCCGTTCTCCTTTCTCTCTTGTAAGCTCAGTAGAGCACGTCTTAGAGTGAGCGTCGTTCAGGGAAAAGTGGACCGCCAGAGCAACGAGTGCGACAGCCTTGACATGGACACCCGAAATTGTAGAGCTGGAAAACGATGATTTCACGATGGAGGGGTAACATGAGCGGGCGGAAGAAACGCACTCGTGACGAAGCTCTCGTCCGTCTGACCCGATCTTTGCGCACACGTCTCGCTGGCCAGATAAGTGACTCGGGGAACCAACGCTCTGTATTCGCTAGCGCAGAGCCGTGGTGGAAACAGGATGGGGAGGTACACGGTCCTCTATAGCACTCAGGGCCCTATTTGATGTTCGCCAAATCACGTAGCTCTGGTGGCTCGCTGCCATGGGACGGAATCGTATGCGGTCACGCATACGCAAGAAAGGCGTTTGCTGGTCCACCGAGCCGTATCTTTCTGTGCACTGGGTCATGGAACAAAAAGCGGAGTGCGTGGACCGGATGCAGGACCGGCTGGAAACGGTGAGCCATTTCGTCGTGCCGACTAGATGACGATGACGCAGATCACGGCGCTGTCGAGAACATTGTGGGCGTTCTGTCGGGAAATGGTGCAATCTTCGTTTTGCTGGAATCACCTTTTGTTCAAGTCAAGCTGTTACCAAAAGGTCAAATACTAGACATATTGAGAAAAGTAAGAGAGAGAGTACTCGAGTAAGAATCAAATCACGTACCAGATGGTCTGCGTTTTTCAATGCCTCAGCTACATCGATTTCCGAGTGCACGGCTGGGTATAGATTCAAGTAGAGGACCTCCAGTTTTCTTCTTGCATGCTGTGCACATGATGTCGATAGGTGCTGGATCCATGAAAATCCAAGATCGTAGTATCAGAAAGAACCTCAAATTTGAAAACAACAGTCACGTGTACCAGAATCCCAACTGCCACTGATGCGTCCACAAAGCGTCCGCCGCTCGATTCTCCTCTCGCCATCATAGCCTGTCGTTTCCTGCAAAGTCTCCCTACAAGGAAACTTTGGTCAAGTTTTATCACCCTTATCGATGGGCCCCAAGCTCCTGGACATTTGACCATTACTTCTGTACTTGCAGCAGTGTCCTTTCTACTGGTGGTAGACTCCTCAGCACCCCCAAAGAAGGGTGCGGTACGTATGGAAACTGCGTCTCGTACCTGCCAAGGTGGATGTGGTTGCACCAATAAACGATAGTGCGTGTTTAGCTCTGTAGGTATGCATGACAGCGAGTCGCATCTTCTTCCCCTGCCAGTGTTAAATGTCATGTCGTCGGCTGGTGATAGCAGCTCGTGCACCCCTTCTCCCCAGGAAGCACATCGTGTAAGTGTGTCGGCAGGTTCTAGACTTGCGCCTCTCTTGCAATTGGGTGTACAAATACATGTCTTAATGGATGTCGTAGGATTTACAGGCTTTTGATTTTGTCATCTTCATATCCATTTAGATACCTTGTACTCAAAGCGGTGTGTCTCTTCACCATTCGTACCATCGCAGACGTGTAAACCCATGATATGGAACACCTTTTCAGTCCATATGATATTGTCGCTCACCTTCTGAAAAGGTTCTATTTATCCTGCCAGCCAGTCAACCCCTCCGCAGACCAAGTTTACTTTTTTCCCCCCCAATGCAGTTGCAAGTATGCTGTAGATGGTGATATTAGCAACAACGGTGATATAAGAGTACATCAGAAGAACTCAGTAAACCACACTCCTCACAATTGCATGCATATTGGTATGAGGGGAAAAAATCCACACAAAGACTAGTATACTCTCTCGGGCCTGTCCGTTACAAGTCCTGAGCCGTGAGTACTGGACCTGCCTGGAACATGGGGAAAAAGGAGTCAACTATTCCACTCTATGGCTGGGAGTCGAACCCAGGTTCTGTGTGACATAAATCACATGATAGACTCGTACTAAACAATAGACTACCAGAGCATAATTCTTGCTTTTCATTTTCTATTATAACATTATTGCGATTGTTCTTGCATAACAATGTTTGTAGCTACTCTGACCTGAACCATGACCTGTCCTTCCATACATCAAGGTGAGTGTATATTCTACCCTTATAACCAAAGCCTCTGATGCTGACACAGAGAGAAAGTCAGCCTAGACTGTGTATATCTTAGATGGATGATCTGATGACTGAATGTCCAGCAAGCAAAACACAATTCTCATTATCATTCAAATTCTTCCTCTACATGTGTTAGTCTCTTCTTTCTGTCTGCCTTTTATCACCATCAGCACAAGGATGAATGGCAAAAATACTACTGCTACAATGATGATTAGTGCTAGTTTCAATAGGCTGGATAGGTCCAGTGTACAGGTGAATAGATTAGCTCAAGATCATCTTGGGATATGTGCATCCATTGATATCACTGGACAATGTGAAATGGTCTCAGCTGTTGCAATAGAGAGATTGTCCATGAGAAACTGCCATGATGGTCATGCATGAATAGCTACATGACTTACTCATCATCAACATCAAGATCACAGTGTTTATCTCTAATACCCTTTCTCAAGCTCCAGAAATTTCTTCTCAATTACAGCTCTCTTTCTCACTATCACAAACTGTTACTTCTGAGCAGTGGAATCACTGAAGTAATGCATCTTTGAGTGGATTCAGATAACGATGCAGGAGAATGTATATTTTGGCTTTGACATCTGAGAAGAACACACTAGGCAATTAGCTCTTTGATTGATTAGCATCATTATGTCTCTGAGTCAAACCTTCCTTTAATTAAGACCTTTCACCTCTGGCTATACTAATCAGACTAGAATCATAGGACAATGGGTTCATCTTAAACTTGCAGATCTCTTGCCAACCAATGTGCTTTGCTTCTCTGTGCAATTATGGATCTCAGTTTTCAGGATAATGTTTGTAAGCTTGAGGATAATACTCTGTCATTTTTTTTCCTTGTGTAGCTATTCTCTTGATGATAGTTTATTGACTTTGTGAGTATATGCTGGTTCATTTTCAAATCTCCTCTCTGCACACATGGAATAATGCTATCCAGCAAATATATAATGATGGTCTACATCTATTTCAAGGGCTTCTCTATATGTATAGAAATCCACTCATCCAGCAAATTGTTGTTTACACTTTTGCTTTGAAAATGAAATGAAGTTTCTGGTTGACTTCTGAATATAATCCAATTTCATATTTTTGTCAGATGAAGAATCTCTCTGTTACAATTTCATCTATTTTATTTTCTTTAACTCCTATGCTTAGTCAGAATGTCCCCTTTTGGAACTGTGGAAAGGCTTAGTCATCACAACTAGACCATCCACTGATTATTCCTACACTTAACGACCAACTGCCTGACCACACACAATCAACCTTTTATGTGCAGTAATGATGCTCAAGGACAATGAGCACTATGGACACAGAATGATACAATTAGTAGGAGTATTATTAGCATGACTTGTACAGTATTTAAGACCCATAGCTCTTGCTGGCATACCCCAGCTTTGAGCTAAAGTTTATCTTCACCATTCTACCTTGAGTCAATTCTCTAATCTTGAGTCACATCAGAAAAGGTGCACAATAAGTGAACTCAGATGATCCCTTGAAGTGTGAAGGGATGCCTGTTTATCACATGTGTCTCACCATGTGACACTTGGGCTTAACAATTAGCTCGAAGCTTTCTGCTTCTCTTTCTCAAGCTCAATTGTGCTGAGAAACCGAATGCCCTCTGCAACCTCCACTGACCTGAATTTCGACTACGAGTTCTTTGAACTCCTTTCTTCCATCATCAGAACACTGATAGGACTTTTGGTGATCATCCAGCTGTGCTAGAGATGCCATTCCATCACCACCTGGGCCCTCAGACATTACAACAAATTTTTATATATCAGAGAAATCCTATGAAACATAACCCCTAACCTCCCTCTCCATGACATCCCTGAATCCTGATGAACAACCTACTAGCCTCCAGAAGCTGGGCCTAGTAGCATGCATCAGGAGGATGGTCAAGAAGAAGAGGGAAGACAATGCTCCCCTTGACCCGGAAACCCAGACACTGGCATCCCAGAGCAAAACAATATACTTGTATGAGGCCCCCCCCCCCAACCACAAGGACAAGGACCTCC